ACAGCGCGGTTCCTGTGAGTGTCAGTCCTTTTTGCATATGTGCACGTGTCCTGTAATTGCCAGCTTTTAGTTTATTGTAAATTTCAATATTTTTGGTACAAAAAAAATTGAAACGAAAATGCAGTCCCCCGTCTGGGCAGTCGCTTCCGCTTTACGACACGCCAATGACTCACAGGACACGAGCTGCTCGCAGCTCACAGTATAGAAATTTATATGGCGGAACTGCGAGGCGACGACGTTGACGGCAGACAGACGACAGCGTAATGAACGTCACCGCAGTGCCTTGTCAGCCAAAACAGTGCTCAGGTCCTACTCCGGCTACAGGTATGCCTCGGTCTCCGTCTCGGTCTCAGACTCAATCTTATGCTTATTCAGCCTGTTACAGTCGCTGGCTTGGCACGCGTCAGAGCTGAAGGAAACCCTCTGCCCAGGTTGTGTGTGTGTGTGTGTTTCCTTTTAGGGGTTGCTAGTTGCAAGTCAGTGGAAATCCTTATAAGAAACATTCCGAAGGAAGCGAAGCAACACGTTCAAGACATTGTTGAGTCACCGCAGCCCCTTTTTTGCGGCAGCATTTATGTGCTTCACTGGCGACCCTTCTCAGTTTCAGTGTCGGAGCCGCCTTTCTTATCGGAACTGCGAGGTGCCCGCTTTTGTGAGCAGGCTTGGCTTTGCCCTTTTGGGTTTTCATTCAACTTTCGTCACTTAATTGAGTTGCGGCGCCGCAGAATAAAAAAAAGTAAGAAAAAAATAAAAGGGGCAATTCCTTGGCTGGAAAGTGCCAATTGTAGGTTTTCACTGTAGGCAGCTACAAATTGAAATGCCCATAGCCACATTCCCCTGGCGTTGACTTTTTATTCATGTGCCTTTTGCCAAGATATTGTCTTCAACGTCCTTACCTTGAGTGTGGTTCCTTTTTATGCTCGCTCTGCAGCAGGGAAGCCATTAAATTGATTATAAAAAGTCTTCGAAATGTGTAAACACACTCCTGCCAGACAGACTGTCGCCCGAGCAGGGACTACCTCCTTGCCTGCGACTGTCGACTCTCGACTGTTAGCTCTGGAATGCTACTAATTACATGGGCGTTGCGGGGAGTGCCAAGGAGGGACTCGTATATATACAGTTTGTGACTTGGGTTTTAAGCAGCGAATGATTCTGACAATTTGTGCGGTAAGCGACAACTTAAGGGTTTATCAATGACAATAATGGAAATAGTAAAAGCTAAAGTGGAGGGCGTGCCGAACAGCGCATTGAAGCACCTCCTTGAGGAAGGACGCCATTAAGTCGTTAGTATGGGAAGTCCTTTGTGCAAATTTGTGGCTGAAAAACTGGTTAACGGGAATTACCAAGCTAACTTTTAGTTTCTTTAGCGCAGCAGAGATGAATGGAGAACTAAAAGGACACAAGTGCGTTTTTGGTATTGGAAGCATATTTTAAGAAATGGACCAATCTTCAGACGAATTCGAATAAGATGAAATAAAAGACTAATTGTATTTTTATAATTTTAGTATTAATATATTGTTCATTTGTCTAAAATGAAATTATAATTAATGTATAAAAATGTCTCGGGCATAAAGATACTCATACTAAATCGAGTCGCTAAATGTCCTTAAGCAAAATAAATATTGCAATAAAGTAAATTAACTAATTCAAGCTAATATTCGCTTGAAAGATAATCAAATAAAGATTAAAGAGCTAGCTAGAATACTTTATTAATTCGCGGTACTCAAAATCTTATCTGTTAATAAAATTAGAGAACCAATTTTGACCCAAAATTGAATATTAAAGTAAACAGAAAGCTTTATCAACACGCTTTTCAAACGAGTTTCCAATAACTCCGCCATATCCCTAAGCAGCTCAACAGCTGCCGCACGGCATTTCAATTGCTGCCTCGTGGCATGCCACTGATAACAATCCGGCATAGAAATCTGTCATGCTGTTCGGCGCATGACTAGGACCCGTTCCAGGTCCACAGTCATTTGCATGTTCACGGCTTGTTGGCCAACACACGTGTTCAATTCTACACGCTTGGACCTATTTGCATGAGGTTGTTAAGCGAGCAGATAAAGCTCCGTACCAACTGTTCCAATCAACAAAGTTCCCTGGATGAACATGCCACGTATTTATTTCTTTTTTTTTTATGCAAATATGGAAATTAAGCTAACAAAAGGCGCAGCGGGCGCTGCGCAAGCGCAGGCACTGGCACAGGAACAGTTAGGGTCGATCGGCACGATCCACGACACGTTCCAAACGCAACCCCCAGTTAGATAGCGGCACACACACAGAAACACACACAATCGGCTTGGGAATGTGTTACACATTTTACATAACATTTACAGCTCGACTGCATTTGGGTTTTCTGTGTGCCAGCTGCCGTTGCTGGCTTTGCCAAAAACATGTTTATCCTTATCCAAGGTGCGGTCCATAGGTAAGGCGAGGCCAGGCGATGCCAGACGATGCCAGGCGAGGCTCGCGTGCCACCAGCCCCACCCCATTTCGACATATCTACATTTGTGCTGCAGTTTCAGCTCATTTCGATGCTCATAAATAACAACAATAGCGACGCGGATGCAAAAAAAAAAAAAAAATAAACAGACAGTAGAATAAAAGCAACTCGGATCCCCAGGTATTTTTCACGTGTTTGGCACGTTTCACTCGATTTTCCGGTTCTCGATTCCAATACGTATTTGTTCCTATGCCCTCTAATCCTTAGAGGCGGACGGCGCACGCGGCACGCGGCCGACGTCTTTGTGATAAATTGGGCTTTAAAGCAGGGGTCTGCATTTCTACCCACCCGACTCCTTTGACAAATGGCCAAAGCTGCGCCACTGGACAGCTAAAGTTTAGGTCTCTCTCTTTCCCTCTATCGCTTTTGTCTATGGCCTCTTGTCTCTTCCTCTTCATGACAACATGCAATTGTTTACTTCATTGTCAAATAAATCTTAGTTCCAAGAGACACATAGCTCTTGTTTTATTTACAAAGTCGCCCAATTATATTAAGTTCACCGATACGCCTATATCATTTATCAACGTCTTTGGATCTACCATGGTTATTGTTTGATATTACTTATATGGACTTTACAGTGGATAAATATTTATTTATTTCTGTCCACATAATAACTCTCTCTCTCTCTACGTTACTTGGAAATTTATCTAATCCAGAAATTATTTACTCTTTGCAGTTGTTTTCCGCCTGTGTTGACATCTGCTTAGATAGTTATATTATTAAATAGTATATTCTAACATAGTAATAGTAGTAGTTAAGATTAAATATATTGTCTTGGGTAATGGTCTGAATATACATGCACATTTGAAATATCTAACAAAGAGTGCGCTATATACCCTGAAGCCAGCGCCCAGTCACACATACACACACAAAAACACACATATATACAAGAACGCACACTGCAAGCTGCGCACTGACGTGCTTCTTCTTCTCTCCGCCCCACACTATTTATGAGCAATGCATTCTCGATGAACTTCGTTGTTTATATTCCAAAATTTGTGAAATTTTCAGAGCTTAAATATGGCGTACAAAAGTGTGTACATACCAAAGCGCAAGGCTTTCTCTTAAACAATTCGCTTTTTTTATAATTTTGTTGGGAATTGGGGCATATATTTGAAAATTTAATATTCTAAATCTGTAGAACCTACACACCAAGTTTGGGGAATCCGGCTATTATAATTTTTGAGCTATGCTAAAGAAAACATGTTTTATAATCGATGGAAAGATGAAAATATTTCAAAACTTGTTTTTGCGTGTGGTACAGTAGAATACATATTCTAAATTTCAAGACTTTAGATATTTTACACATTGACAAGCGGACCGACAGATGCACATGGCTGGATCAACTCAGCTGCTCGTTCCGAACAGGAATATATGTATATACTACTCTATGGGGTTGAAGAATCTTCCCTCTGCCGGTTACATACATTTGCACAATCACGTTATACCCTTCAACCCATTTATGGGATCAGGGTATAAACAATGAGTCTTAAGCCGTTTGAACGAAAATAAAACATTCGCCAAGCAATTTACAACCATAATCCTCTATTTTTAACAAAGGGGGTGAATTTTTAAAAGGTGCGTTTAAAAATTAGCTTTAACAGATCACGTAAAGATAAACAAGAAAGTAAGGAGTTTTGACACGTCAAACTTTTAATACTTGTAAGCATTTGTCTTAAGATTTTGGAGATATACCAAAATAGTGAAGCTAGTAAATACTGAGCTCGATGAAAATAACTTGGAAAACAGAACATTTTGCCATACAAATGCACTCTAGAATATAGTATTGTGATATTAATAAGATTTGGCTCATATATAAGCAGCATAGTTTAGCCTATAAATGCTGGATTTGGTCAATATATCTTGTTAAGCAAAAAAGTTTTTAATACAAGATCTTAAATTTCGACCGATCGTTCCTATAACAGCTTTATGATATAGTGCTTCGATGATAAAATGTTGCATATATATGAGAAGCATAGTCAAACTAATAAGTGACGGGCTTTGACAAGATATCTTCATAATAAAAAAACCGATTTCCATACAAGAACATACTTTTCGATATATCTTTTCTAAGGCAACTATGTGATATAATGCCTGATCCGGCCGGTTCCGGTACATATATACTGCCTGCAACAGAAAGACGGATGCAATGTTTCAAGATGATAGCTTTAAAGCTAGTTCGAAACAACAACAGACAGACTGACAGGCAAATGGACGGACTTGGCCATATCAACTCGGTTATTGATGCTGATATAGAAGATATATACTTTATGGGATCGGAGATGTCTCCTTCTATGCGTTACACATTACATGACAAAACTATAATACCCTCTACAAGTGTATAAACAAGATAATATAACTGTCTTAATTTGGACTGTGCGTTGATCAGTCAGGACGAACAGTTTAGTATATATAGAGTTCCATAAACATTTTCAAATAAACTAATTACTTATCGATTAATGAGTCTCACTTTACGCTAGGAAATATTATTAAAGAGTTAATCCTCGATCGGCGCAGTATTGTCAGATATTTGTTGATCCCAATATTGCAGCTTTTCCTCCATCTGTTTATAGTCCAAGCGTTGGGGCAGCACACTCGGCGATTTCGGAAGACTAAAGATTCGCAGATGATATAGAAAAAACTCATACATATCATAGTCATACATCTTGGTATAATGAAAACTGATGCCCGAATCGGAACAGCAATCGCTCAACTGTGAACATTAAATGGATCTACAAAATATGCACGCATCGAATTTGGGTAAGTATTTACATTCGGCTTGAAGTAATAGTATCCATCCAGCCAAGTACCAGACTGTATTTGGGGCATCAGATGCCTGGGATGCAGTGGCAGGAAGCGCTCACGGCCCAGCTCATCTCTAGAGTCACCAGCTACCACGCCCACATTCAGCAAGCAGTGTCCAATTTGTCTATCCTCCGCATTGGTATTAAGAGGACAGAACTTTGTATTGTTCAGAGCAAACAGATTCAGGCGACGCAGTGCATCGCGGCTGAGCACATAGCCAGCACCGCCAGACATGTAGCCATGAGGATAGGTTGTGCGAAATCGATGACCAAAGAAAACGGCTGCCTCCGGATCGTATGGATAGAGAAACAGTCTCAGATTCTCCATAACCACATAACTAGCATATATTGGAATGAGTCGAATGAATCGGCGAACATTTTCTGCAACTCACGTGTCGTCGTCCGCCTTGAGAAACCAGTCGTAATCCTCCACGTAATGTTCATAGGCGTAGGCCAGACCCGCACGCACCTTCGCATACAGATTGTCACGACTCTCCGTCACATTGAGATTCACAGCGCCCAATTCGACATCGTCTTGGCTGCTCAAGAAGATCAGCTTGTTGCAGCGTGAGCCCCATGTGGACATCACCTTGGCTGCTTTAGTCGTATGCTGCGTTGGCATGGTCAGCACCAGGCACAGCACGCGCGTCTCATGGTAAAGCCGATCCGCCAGCGTTGCCTTCGCCAGCGGCGTGGGCGCGGCTGTGTCCACAGCAATCGCGGTGCTCTCGTATTCGTCACCGGTGAGCATCAGATAGTCCCACAGCTCGGTCAGCTGCATGCCCACAATCAGGCCCAGCACCAAACACAGCACATTCCGAAACATTCCGCACCACAAGCAATGACATTTGCCAAAAATTGTTTAAGCCTTACGAAATCTTTAACTGCGACCGCATTGTGCGATGTGCCTCTTCATTCAGTTGCCACACCGCGACTGTTTTTCAGCCCAGTTGCTTTCAGTTCGAAAACCGTCTCTTAATGAGTATCACTCCGGGCTAAAAACGAGTTTTGTTTTGTTACGTTTGTGATTCGCATACCAAATGAATCACAACTCTCTTAAGACATTGTTCGACTGAACATATATATTTTATTTCTTCTGCTTCACTTATTAAGTGCAAGAATATAGAGATTTTTATACACTTCGAATTGCAGAACATGTTTCTACAACTTTGATAAGCCAAAGAATAAAATACCCTGTAGTTTTTTATACAAAAACTTTACTTTCATCCAATTTTGTCTATCGAATGTATATATATAATAAATCAGACCGCTGTCAAAAAATTTTGCAGACTTTGCATGCGTAAGTTTTCCATGCAAACACAAATTTTTCGACCGATTTCTCAATAGAGAAATACGGTATATTATATACATACCTTATAATAAGTTTAGTATGCCGATGCTAAAATATATCTTGAAAAAACAAAGTTAACTTTAAAAACATCTGGGAAATCGTTTCGAAAATCTTCTCTTTCTGTTTGAAGAGCATTCGATTTTCGTCTAGTCAGCGGCACAATTTTACAATTTGTTATTTTTTTTTTTTTTGGAGAACCGGTTTTGAGTGTCTTCGTATCGCGCAGGTTTTGACCCACACCTGAATATGATTAGCGACTCTCTCAGTTGGCTCCTTTCACTTTCCTCCCGACTCCAGCGCATCAAACGTTGCACCAAAGATTTGAAACAAACTGTTTTGGTAATGGTATTATTTATTTTATTGCTAGTTAATTTTCACTTTAGTTTCTGTTGATGTATCATATTACAATTTATATAGGTATATTTAAACTTTAGTTAGTACAACTTTTTCAATTCGTTTGTTTCTGTTTAGACTAAATGTGGGCTAATATATTTTTTGCTTTGATTTTTTTTTATCAATTTCGCTTGGTTAACGTCTTTGAATGTCTTAATATTCGTTTCGTTTTTTTTTTGTTTTCTATTTCTATTTGTATTTGTGTTGAAGTTTGTATATTCAAAATTGCTTCGTGTTTTTCTTCTTCGTATTAGAAAATTATTACAAAACATTTAACTTTAACTTTAACGTTAGGTTTGCATGCCGTTTATTTTTTATTTTTAGCTTACTATTCACTTAATGTTGTTTTGTTTATTTTCTTGTATGTATATCTTATTTGTTTATCGTATTTTCGATTATACGTTTAGTAAGTGCACTTGCCAATTCTCGTTTATTTTACTTTCATTCCTTCTAGGGTCACAACATTTATCTCAATAACTGGAAAACAAAGGTAAACAAAAATTGTCAGGCAATGTCAACACAATGATTCTTTCCATGATGATTCGGCTTAAACAATGATTAATTTGTATTTAGTTAGTCACACAGCCTTAGAAACTACTTAATAACTAAAACATATATGAGGGCAATCAAATTTGCCGTAGCGCCAAAAGCCATATTAAAAGAAAAGGCAACAAAATTCGCATAAAACACAATTTTAAAAAAAATATAAAGGTATGAAAAATTTGAAAACTAATTTAATACAATCAAATGTAATATTTGATGTGAATTTACAATTGGGTTTCTGGAGTATACCATTAATATATAAAAAAAAAAAAACAAATGCTTGACAAAAATATATAACTATTACGTCTTTAGTTTCGGTTGCTTTTTATATACGCGATGTATGTTAAACATTTTAATTTCGCTTGAAAAAATATATGTAAAGTGAAAATTTCCACTAAATTTCCATCGCTTTGACATTAGTTTTTTTTTTGTATTTTTTTTTCTCTTTTTTTTAGTATAAATTTAATTTATATATATATGTATGTATGTGTATGTATAATTTTGTTTACGTTTAATATGTTGTTAGCTTGGCTTTAAACTACAAGTCCTAATATTATTGTTGTTGCTTTTGTTTACCGTTACTTTATCATGCTTCTTAGTTTTTGTTTTGCTTTTCATATATGTCAGTTTAGTTTTTATATATATATATATAATTTTTTTGTAATATTCCTCGTATTTTTAGGAACCTATTTGTAACTAGCAAAGCGCAGACGCTGTAAAATTTCTATAGAAAAAAATGTTTTGCTATAATTTGGCTTACAATTAATTCATATATGTTTAACATCAAAATATATGTTTCTTAATTTACATATATATTGTAATATAGATATATATATACATATATGTATGACAATGCATAACATTATATCCATATTATAATATTTAAAGGTTTCTTGCTATTTTTACGATCGAATTGCGCTGGCATTTACTTGAGTTTCGAGAAGTTTCAAATAAACATCATTCGTAATTTTAAAAAGAAATCAATAAAAAAGATTTTGCGCCAAATGTAAATTCATAAAATTTTTAATCTTCCTCTTGTTTTTCTGAAACTGTTTCTTTATATAAGACAAACTAAGTGTGTAACTTTTAGGTGCGGATTTGCCTATGATTACATTATAGTCCTAACAATCGTAAATCAGCGCATTTCCTTGCTTTTTCATAGATTTTTCTCGTTTGTATATATAGACATCGATTATCAAATATAAAACTTAATTCAACAAAAGTTTGTAACTAGTTGTAAATAATTTTAACAATATCCCTTTGAGAAGTCACTGACTACACAAAAGTATCAAAAAGTTATTGTTTTGGACACTAACTTCTTTCATGCTTTCTTTTTTTGATGTAATTTTATCGAATTTTAACATTGGCACGTTATTTATAGTATATGTATGGTATATGAATTAGAAAATAATATATGCATGTGTATGTATATGTTTGCCAGCTAATTTATATTAACTCCATATGCAACTAGAATTCTTGATTAGTTGTAATTGTTAACGAAACATGAAAGTTGACAATGTAGTTGACATAACTCTTAGCATTTCTTATAAATAAAAATTATATTTTTAACTATATGTAAGCCAATTCCACGATTTGTCGCAACAGACAATAAAATATCATAATTGGTGCAAACAGTTTTCATAAAAGTATATTTATATATATATATAATTATATGAATTTAAAATGAATTTGGGATCTAACTAAGCAACAAACTATATAAATTATAAAATAATCGCGCTAATTTCCTTTTTTCTCGTTTCTGTGGTTCACTTATTTCGACTTATACACAAAATAATGCTATGTATTCATGTGTTTGCATGTCTTGTATTGTATACAAAAGATAGATTTGTTTTTCCTTTAAAGCATATTCAAAGCATTTCAATATATATTGTGGTTTTAACTGGATGCAAGGCAGATTGTTTGCTCTGGCGCCTAAATGCATGCTATAAACAATTACAAAGAAAATTAAACTCTACAATTTTAGTTATATATGTATCATATATGTATGCTACGTATGTACATATAGAGCTCTAAATGTTTGTCATATCGAAGAGGTCTACAACTATCTATTATATGCACGCTTCTGCTTCTTTGTGCCATTTTGAATAGGTTGAGGCGCCAAATGGGATTTACAAATATTGGCTGGCTCAAATTTATGAAACTTACTTATATAGTATATGTATATGATAATTTGCTCGCTGTTTAGTTTAGCCATACCATGCGCTAATTTTGTACAAAGATTTCGTTTCAACGAATTGTTGGTTTGTTTGCTTTCTTGCACAACTAAACTGTTATCAACTTAGGGCTACGGCTAAAGCTTACCAACTAGGAGTTTTTTTGTATTTATTAAACTTAGACACACTTAGACACACACGCATTCACCACACAAATACAACTACCATTCACACGTACATGCGCTTTGGACTTTGGGCTTAAACATAGGCATTTAAATATATAATATAACCGTTCAAATTGTATATGCATAAAAAATCAAACTCTGGCATGCCCTTAGGCTGGGTATGCCATTATTTTGACAACTTAGTTTCATTTATTATTCGCTGAGTTTGCAGCTGATGTGGTAGATGCGGCACTGGCCGAGGCATGGGCATTGGTGGCTCCTACTGTGCTTCCAGCGCCGGCGCCATTGCTCGTCTGCATCTGTGGCAGGGTATCGAAACGGCGATAGTAGAGTAGATAAGGCACACGCGGCGTGTGCGGCTGCAGCACTTGCTTCTCGCCGATCGGCTTCACTGAACTATCATCGTAGCGCAGCCAGCTATTGTAGCCGGTATGAAACACATCCGTTATATAATGACCCTTGGAGGCTTCTTTGCCGTCGTGATAGACCACAGCGAACAAACGGTAGGCGCGCTGCTTTTGCGATGTCTTCTTCGATCCAAGTATCTCTGCGAATAGGTTTTACACATGAATCCAACTCCTTGAGGCATAAAATCTTCACTTACTGGCATCGATTTTGAGTTCCACTGGGAACTCAACCTTTTTCAATATCTTTGTGCAGCCATCGGACCTATAGTCAAAGTATTTTAAATGCAATATCAAAACGATGGGCAACTTTTCCAACGTCATTTGCTGCCAGGCGACCACCTCCTGTTTGGTCTTGCTACCAGTGACGCCCTCCAGCTGATCACGACCAACGAGTATCTCAAGAGCCTCCTTCACTGAAGCGGCTTTCTGCAATCGCCATACCAAGAGTATTTACCACAATCATTTTGCGAGACACGCATCCAACTCACCTCAATGTTTAGTTGCAGTGTAAAGAACGGCTGTATAACATCCGTAGAGTGTTCGCCTTCGCGCTGAAGTCGGGAACGCAGTTCTCCACGAAAGATGTCGCTGAGCGGGGTACGTCCAAAGTCCGTCTGGCGAGTAACGCTGCCCTTGTTGCGATTATTGCAAATCATCTAAAAGTAGTCAATCGTTCCATTCAATAACAACTCAAGTGATCCGATCCAATCAAGGGTACTTGTCTCGGAGGTAATTTGCATTTGTTTAAATTAAGATCCAAATAGACACAAGCACAAGCACTAAACTTCACTAACTTTAAATCTCATATCGCATAGAAAGGCGATATTAAAGAATGGGTGGAAGGAGCTGAGAAAGCAGCTCTATAACAGAGCGGGAGAGCAGGGCGAGTCACAGAGTAGAAGATTTATCTAGCTATATCAGAGCAACAATACCCTTCATTATATATATTGATATATATATATATATTTTAAATATGTATACAAATTCATATTTGTAAAAGTAAAATCAAATTGAATTAAGTACTTAAGTACTGCTGCAGATACTTATAACTAATTGTACTTATATTGAAAGCAAGTTGGATTACTGGTGGGAACGGGGATGTTATCAAAACATAAAATAAGTCTTTAGAGTGTATCGTATTGTAGTCTCAGCGTGTTTTCAGAGACAGATACACGGGCATTTCGATAAAGCTAAACTTTGCAATCCAGAAAATATATGTACATCTTGGGGTTCTGTCTCTTACATTTTCTTGTACAATTTTAAATAACGTCTATCGTATTGTACAATCTCCGAGATTAGCGCGTTTTTGACAGACACACGGACAATTCAATAGAGCTTAACTCTCCAATCCAGAACATCTTTTGGGGGTGGTTAATGGGGTTCTGTCTCTTACATTTTCTCGCACAATTTTGTTTTTACAGAGCATTCAAATACTACAAGTAACTGAAATAAGTCAAAGTACTTACCTGCCAAACATCTCCGCCATCCTCGGTATCTTGTTCCTGTTCCTCGCCATTTTGTTGGGCATTTGGCTTTGCAATCAACTTGATAACCTATTGAGAAATTCATGCATAATATTAATAAATAAATCCCATTTTATACAGCAACACATAATCGACCCTACCTCGAGCATCTCGTCGTTGAGCTTGTTGAGCACATAGCCCAAAAACTCTTCGGCATCCTCTTGTCTGCCTTCCACGTGCTCCTCACGACTGTCATTCCACAGTTTGTATATTTCAGTGGGCTCAAAGGCAAGATCGCACTGCAAATCAACGCCAGCAAACTCATCCTTGCCCTTAATCTGGGCAGCTTTGTTGTTATTCAAACGCAAGCGGGTACCGCCAGGCAGTGATGAAAAGTTGCTCATAAATGACATCCTACGGAAGAAAGAGAAAAATGAATTAAGATCACGGTTTAAATTTGTAGAAAGCAATAAACATGTGCGTGCATGCAGGTGTACATGAAGTCATCAATGGGTAAATCATGCGTATACACCAAGCACCTGCATCGGACTAGACGTTAAGCAAAGATTAAATCCAAGACGGAGAAAACCAGTGCACGCCTGAGAGGCCGATGCCAATTGTTATGCCACAGGCGTAACACAGACGCCAGCTGGTCTTGGCGCCGAGGCGTCTGTTGACTTGCCTGTGGCAGCGGGGTGGGCTAATGGTGCAACTGGGTCATGGGTTATGCGTCACGGGTCACTTACATGGCATTCACGGTGGGTGTCTTGACCTCGCTCAGCACCGCCGCCTGCTTGGGTATGGAACGCATCAGATTATAGAAAGGCGAACAGCCAAGCAGCGCCTGAAGTATGGAGTTGATATAGCAATAATTGGAACGATTAGTCAGACCACGCGGCCGCAGACTGACGGGCGCCAGATTAGTTTTTTGACGTGTCAGAAATTCAGCATATTTGTTTGTCCACTCATCTAGTTGAGCGGCACGCATCGGCTCCGCTTTCAGCGGCTTGACAGCTGCAGAGGCGGGAGCAGCCACGGCGGGCACTGCCTGTGCCGAAGCCGCCGAATACGAGAGTGTGCCGGGTGTGATAAGCGGCACAGTTGGCGCTGGCACTGGCGTTGGTGATTGCAATTGATGATGATGCACGCTGGGCAGGCTCTGTGTTGGCGGTGTTAATGGCAGTTGCTGCTGTGACTGTTGCTGATGTTGCTGGGCAGGCAATTGCTGTGGTTGTTGCTGTGGTGGCGCCAGTTGCAACTGCGGCTGCTGTTGTTGCTGCTGCTGCTGCGGATGATGTTGCTGCTGCAGCTGCTGTTGCTGTTGCTGCTGCTGTTGCTGCTGCTGTTGCTGCTGCAGATGCTGCTGATGTGGTTGCTGCTGCATCTGCTGCTGATGTGGTTGCTGCTGTGCCTTGTTACCATCATAGGGCGCCACTTTGGCCACAGGCTTCTTGTTGGAAAACAGACTGGCCCACGATGGTTGTCCGCTGTCTGCGCTGGTGTTGTTCTGCGAGGCAGGCGGCGCTGGTGGCGCCAAATTAAGCGCCGGCTGCACAGACACAGGAGCTGCAGCTGCGCTGAAGGATGTATCTGCACTGAAGTTTTGTGTGCCGTACTTGTTCTTGGCTCCATAGTTCACATAGGATTTGGCAGCTGGAGCGTATTGGTTATGACCATGTTGCTGCTGTTGCTGCTGCTGCTGTTGTTGCTGCTGCTGAGACAGCACAGATGCATTGTTTGTGCTATTTGACTGACTTTCAGTGGACATCTGTTGTTGAAACTGATGAGGCGTTGCTGTTATGCTTGCCGTTGAGGTAGTTGCTGTTGTTGTTGCCGCATTGTTGCTGCTTAGCTGCTGCTGTTGCTGGCCACTGATTTTGCGCTCCAGCGGCGGAGCTGTGCTTGCCACAGGCGAGGAGGGCACTTTCATAGTGCCATATGTGCGCATTTGTGGCTGATTATTATTGTTGTTGTTGTTGTTGTTGTTACTGTTGTTGTTGTTACTGTTGTTGTTGTTGTTACTGTTGTTGTTGTTGTTGTTACTGTTATTATTGCTGCTGCCACTGTTGCTGTTGTTGTGGCTGGTTTGGTAGTGCTGCTGCTGTTGCTGATAGTGCTGCTGATTGGTGTAGGTTTTAGTAGGATGACTGTAGATGCCAGCATTAACACCGGTTGACTGCTTATTGAAGCCGCCGCCAACACTTGGTGGTGCAGCTGCAGCACCACTGGCAGCAGCAGCAGCAACATTAGCGCCGTTGTTTACAGTATTTGGCGAGGCAGTGACCGCCACCGACTGCGTGGACTTCTTGTGCTGTGCGGAGTTTGTCCACGACATTGTCTTGGTGGTTTGTATGGCAGTGTCGCTGCTGCCCTGATGGTGATGATGATGTTGCTGTTGCTGTTGATGATTGTACTCCGAGGAGTATTTGCGACGCACTTGCTGTTGTGAGTTGTTGTTGTATTGCTGCTGAGGTGGCTTGCGCTGTTGCTGCTGAGGCGGCTGCTGCTGCTGCTGCTGTTGTTGCTGATGCTGATGGGCGTGTTGCTGCTGTGCATGTTGCTCACTGAGACTGGGCGTGTGTGCTGGCTGTGTTTGTTGCTGTTGTTGTTGCACCGGCGGCGGCGGCGGCGGCTGCTGCTGCTGCTGTTGCTGCTGGGGCACAACTGGCGAAGTTTGTTGCTGCTGATGTTGCTGCGGTGGCGCTGCAGCTTGCTGCTGTTGCTGCTGCACCTGCAGTTGGGGCGCTACAGTGGCAATGGATACTACCAAATTGGCTGGCTGTTGACGTTTATCAAGTTGCTGCAGTTGCTGCTGTTGCTGTTGATATTCAAGCTCAAATTGCTGCTGCTGCTTCTCGCTGTTGGCAATCAGTGTCTCATCCAAAGCCGCCTCGTTGGAGCTGCTGATGTTGTTGTTATTATTATTGTTGTTGGTGAGCAGCGATTTATCAACTGTAAAAGAGAAGAATTTCCTGTGTTCAGTAAACTTTTAGATAAACATAGCCCTGCTCCAACAAAAATTCCCCTCTTCGTTATCAACTTGAGTTTTATCTGTTGTGGCTTCTACAACTACACCAAATACGCCCAATTGTTGTGAATAATACACAAAATAATTTACAATTTCTTCATAATTGATACCAATTGATGTCATATAAGATATTTTTATTTGAATCGGATGTTGCTGTTGTTGCCGAAAATTTCCCGTCCCTAAATTTTGACTTGTATTTTAATTGATTTGTTGTTTCTTTTTTATCTCGAAACTGAAGACTTCAATGGAGGGCAACAGTATGTAAATAGCAATGTGGATATTGTGTATTTATTATACAGTTCAGAAAGTAGCTCACAATATCAAAAAGTCAATATAGATTTAGTACACACGACGCTAATCAGCATAGACAATAGAGATGCGCCTGACCGACAATAGAGGAAATAGAATAGAACCAGGGAGCACTTTAATCGGACACGTATAACAGCAGCAATAACAACAACATTAGAGATAGCTGTCGCTAAATAGTCGCCGCACCAACTGTTATTATTGCTCGACGATAAGGCATGCCACATATCGCTGACTGTTGCTGTCCAATCAATTTGTTGGCCATTGCAGCAAGTACTCTATAACAATACTTAATCCATGTCCGTTTCAAGTGTGGGCTGCACCCCCTCGGAAACAGAGATAGAGAAGTTCCATAAAGTTCCGTTTGGACGAGCAACATTATTATTATTAGAGTAAATCACAATCGGTGCCTCATACTGTGAACTCATTTCGGTAGCTGAACTTTGTGCCCTCTCTCTGATATGGGCCTTACGATAAACCCGCCCAAAACATGCTTGTCGATAAGGTGGGTACTGCCTGTTATCAAGAAAAGAGCAAAAATAATGCACACGTGATTCGGGGAAGTCAACGAAGCGATGCTGTTGTCATTGCTGCCTATTTGTCATTAATAAATGCCTAATTAATAAACCCAACTGATACGAAATGCGAGAGAGCTGCAGCTCTGGGTCTTGCCCCAAGTACTTACAATTACGCGCTGTAAATATTAACACTTGATAAGGCCCTAGCCACAACGGGCGTCAAGAGGGGCGACGCACAAGGCTGTTCACTCTCTCATGGCCACGGGCCATTGAGGTGCGGCAGAGACTGTGAGAATATGGGACGGCAGCTTTAAGTTTGCACAGCTGAGGAAGTTAATAAATCTCGCATTAATAAAATATTGCACTTTCACAATCCTATAAAACATATAGTAATTTTTCCCACGGGAAGTACTTGGGTTCAATACATTGAGTACACAATCTGTTTCTTGCTGCTGCATGACTGAATAACATGATCTGAGCTGAGAAATGTTTACCTTATGTGATGAAGCTTCACACTAAGAAGGAATTTAGGAACAACTGCGTGTGGAAAGATCTTTGTGAAAATGTATCTAAGCTGAAATCCGTCATGGATGAAGAATTAAGTCAAAGGTTGTATAACCGAAAGATCGGTTAGGACAGCGGAATACCAGAAGAACTATTTAAACATCGTAAAATAAAAAAGTGTGTGGGACAAGAATCTTTAAATGCACACAGCTTTTCAGCCATTTTCCACGTTTGGGAATGAAATTTGAAGAGGAAAGAAACCATTTGAGTGCTCGCCTAAACTATAAACGAAAGATATTGTGGTATCCACATTCCGAACTACCACAGAAATATATATAATACGTACACATAAGAAAGAACAGGATTCCAGTTGATTACGCTGGAGTAGAGGACAAAAAATTTCCAATTATGTATTCGATAAACTTAATTTCTTAAAACAAAAATAAAATCATGACATAATTTTCAACTGCACTCGGATCTAATACGAATTCAACTGCAAAACTTTCATCCTCTGGCTATGCTGCTGCTTGACAATTAGTAAGAAACAAGCCTCTCATTTGCCACATGGCCGCGTGCCCCCAAGAAGGCAATAGACGATTAGAATTATATTAAAATGTGTATGCACCATTAACAATATCTTTGAGCAAAGCTATTTAAAATTTTATTAACGCCTATATCATAACGAATGCTTTCAGTATACAATTAAAATGCGGTGCTAAATATTATTTACCCCATAACGTCAGATGACAAACACAGTGAAAAAAAAAATAGGCAGCAGGGCCGCCAGACGGAATCGGATTTCCAACAATAGTAGAGCAGCAGAATTCCGAACTCAATGTGTTAATTAATTTCAATTAACATCTAACAAGCGGCCAACAATAAATACACACTCAAATGATAGGAGTAAAAACTGGAATAGAGCTCTCAAAATTGAAATGAAAATTTGAGAGAGCAGCTTTATGTACGGCAACAATTAGAAACCACTCAAATGCAAATTATACAAATAAAAACTATAAGTTATAATTTCAATCGTTCACAGTCCAATAACAGTATAAAACAGGCTAGATGCAAAGACTATGAAAATTATTATCATATAAATCGATCTTTAGAGTGGCTCAACATTAGTCTTCGCTCCAAAATTGCTTGAGAACTGTGGAAGATCAAGCTTTTCCTGATTTACCATGCGCCCAGTAGGAGTAGCCTTTTAATCCTAGCACTTTATCCGACACCTGCATACATGAGTATATAATTCAAGTTTCAAATCTGTAACCTTAAGAGCGTCGAAGTTAATACAGGGACATTTTCTATATTTGCAATATAAATCTGAAAAATGAAATGAAAATTAATAGAGTATTCACTCGTAATGCGAATTGCATGCAAATTATATTAAAAAAACCTAGAGACTATAATAAAAAACTGGGCCAGGGGAAGTGTCAGATTTGGTAGCGACGATGAGCTGAGAGAACTGCAGTATGACAAGGTTGGCTGGATAATTACAGACATGAGTGCACAGGTAAATTACAAAAAGCAACAACAATGAGAGTTAAACATGTTAGGCTAATAATAGCAGACAGCAACAAAAGTTGAATGCAACAATGCAAAACAAGGAAATCCACAACGGCACGAAAAAAAAATCGAAAACAAACGCGACTGTACTTTTCTCTTACACGTGTAAGCATTGGCCAGGGGCGGAGTGGAGAGTTGCATGGTAGTGGAAGTGAAAGAGTAAACAGCATTAGCACAGTTTGACGTCTACGACACTTGACTGGACAAATTCGCTTTCGGTTTCACTATGAAAACTGTCCTACAGCCAAGCATGCACATCATATCATATGCCAGTTATACATTACGCAAATGAATTTGCGTTTCTCTCGATACAATGCGCTACATTTGAACAATCGAGATTTTGTAATCGTCGCTTTTGTTGTTGTGGAAGTCTATTTGATATTTAATTGATTTTTCTTTCCAACAAACTGACAAAACGGGGTCATCACCAACTGGAGAGCAGCCCCCAAAAGCGGGGCTGTTGCTGTCTCGATTTACCGATTTTCCTCTCCCCCTCCCCTCTCAACGGCCAGTGTGTGTGGCCAGTTGTTGTTATTGAACGCGCGATTTTATTCAATTTTTATTAGCAGCAAAACAAAAAACAACGAGAACAACAACAACGATTGCCACATTTGAGTAATTTATGTTTGGCTTACAATTTACGAATTTTAAAGCCATTTAATTGATGACAAACTGGGAGAATGAGAGATATAGAGAACGATAGAGAGAGAGAGAAGTTTGCTTTAAAGCTGCAGAATTTAGTTTCTAAATAAATTTTAATTGAACCAAATACTAGAAGTGGACACCTAATACAATCAAACCAAATATAAATAAATAGAATACTAATTGAGCAAATTAATCTATAAAAATAAATAAATAAATTTCACAACCAACAAATAAAAGCTTCAATCATTATGTTTACTTCTAAAATGTGTAACGAATGAATATTCTCATTGCTGCCTATCACTGAAACCAAATTGGAGAGTAAAAAAGTAACATAAGACATGGAAAAGTTAGATAAATATGACCAAGTAGTATATATCAATTGTCAAAACATCAAAACAGGAGAACAAAGCTTAAGTTAACTGCATTCATACTTCAAAGCATCACAAAGCAGGAATCTTTAGATTAATCTTTAGATTAAAGAGTTTGTCCTGACAGATTGACTGATTGAAGATCAAAGCACAACTGAAACCGAAGCTAGACAGCTGAACTAAGATGGGTTTATGGAATACTCGAGCTCCATGAAAAACCTCAATAACGACGTAGGCATATAAGTGTGCTTCGCAAACATGACCTCACGAGCCTGCATGGCTTTAATGTTTGAGCGTCGGACTAACAACCGGGCAGTCGGCGGTTCAAATTCAGCAACAATTGTTAGTTTTTTTTTGCTTGTCTGTTTAAATTGTTCTTATTCACAACGAAGTAGGCAACAAAAATAAATTTTAAATAAACAAAAAAATTAAAAATGATTTTTTCTCAACAATAACAAGTTTTTTTTTTTGTCAACTTCAATGCTAACCTTTATTCTTTGGCAGGACCTATTTATGAACCCATATTAACTTATATAATGCATGTAATCTATCCCAATATACACAATTATTCATATTTGATAAAAAATGGTTTAGCATTACAACAAAAATAAGCCAAGCTTAGTCACATTTGAATTTATGATTTGACTCACAGTAACAACAACAAAAGGAAACAAAACAACTCAAAGTCCAAAACCCAACACAAAAGCTGCGCAACGAAGGAAAAATGTGTATGCTCGAAATATATACATATATGTATATATAAACGTATGTACTGGCAATATAAGTATGTATATCCACATACGATAAACACAAAATGACACAGCTATGTTTATTAATAAGTAAAAATGAATTATTTTAGTATGCATTTTCAATCAAAAATAATTTGTTGCTTATCAGCAGCTGGAAAAAAAAACTTGAAAGCATAATGCAATAAACAAATAAAGCGTATTATAACTATATTGCCACACGTGGTACTCGTTTTGTTGTTGTTTGTTTTGCTGTTGTTCCTGTACAAATACATATATAAATTGATAACGAATCTCGACAACAATGCGCCGTATTATGGGCGGTCGGGTTCGATGACAAACAGCAACAGCAAAATACACAAATGCGTAAACTTTTGACTGCCTGGCAACAGTTCCACAAACCTACAACTGAATGCACCCTGTTGTATGTGGCACCCTGTTCTGTTGTTGTTGTTGTCGTTGTTGTTGTTGTTGTTGCTGTTGCTCTAGCAATTCAATTGAATTCATTTGTGTCAATTTACAATAAATAATAGCCAAAGAACTGTGGCTGCCCGCAAAGTAAACAATAAGCCAAAGAAATTGCATAATTCTCTAAGACGACAAACGGCACGCGACCTTCGTCTAGAACAAAGCTAGCAAATTGCCCCTTGCACCGCCCCCGAATCCGAATCCGCTACCACCTGTCGGCGGCATACACAAAAAGCAAACAAGCGGCTAAGAACTGTAAAACGTTTTCTTATCAATGAAAGCACTAGCCAACAAATTATTTACGAGTACTTCGGCGGCGACGACAACGTTGAGGCTTGTAGCAATAAAGTGGGCGGTGAGTATATTCAGCCATTTTATGTATACCCTGTAGACATTAAAACTGATAGAACGGGGTATGATAGCTTGATGCAAATGTATGTAACAGGCAAAAGGCATCTACGAGCGCATAAAACACATATATTCTTGATCTAACTATACGAACTTGAGACTTGAAACTTTATACTTTTCATTTCATTCGATATCACCCATTTCCGTATTATCGATATATATCGATTTTTAAACAAGATTTCTAAAATTGATAGCCAAACGAGCTACAGTCCTAAAATTATATATTTATCATTTGATACGAATTATCAGTAATCGGTATCGGGTATTCATACCCTTATTTCCGTATTATCGATATATATCGATTCTGAAAGAAGATTTCTCAAGGGCTAGAACTTGCATGCAGTTTTTCGAACAGAGTATGCAGATTAAGTATACTATTTAAAAATTACCATGACTCACAACAAATTTGACAAAATATCGTTTTAAAGATTGTGCTTTGGTATTTACACACATTTCGATGTCATATTTAGGATCTGAATATTTGAGAAAGATCGAACTAGAAACAACAAAGTTATCGAAAGTTTGATATACCTTAGTTTGAGTCTAAAGAAGAAGAATCGCTGCATCAAGTGCGCAGATTGCGGCGTGCGTCCTTGAATATGTGTAAATGTGGATGTGTATGTGTTTTTGCGGATTCATATATAAATGGAAGGTCGAATGTTATTGACGGCATCTACTAGGTGCTGGGTAGAGGGTACTCCTAGTTATTTCACGCAAGAATTGTCGTTGACAAGTATCGAGTGGGGAGGGGGGCTGGTCGGACAACTGAAAGACAACTGACAGCTCGACGACACGATAAATGGGAAAGTAGCAATAGTTCCAGTTTCAGGAGCACAGCAGGGACACCCGCTTCGGCTGGCGCTTATAATGTGTGTATCCTGCTGGCATTAGCATATAAATGCGTATAACAGTTGGCACGTGGGCAGCATACGGGCAATTCCATATGTAAGATACAAAAGTATCTAACGGGTACAACAGAGGCCAACAATAACAAGTACACCTGGGAAATGAGCAACGAATGATGCGCAACGAAAGCAACAAGTAAAATACCAACGCAAGCAAAAAATATAAAAATTGCCAGCGACAAAACTGCGTCATTTTGTAGGTATCTATTGGCATAGGATACAGATGTGTATATAGCATATTGATGCATATATATGTGTACGCTATATAGTACTGTGAAAATGAGAAAAACTGAGGAAAACTCACAGCGTAAAAAATACAACGTTAAACAAAAGCGCATCGACTGGCTGGCTGAGGCGCAATGTGGCGTATGCGCAATTTCAATTTCATTTCCCTCAACAACAACAGAAACAACAAAAATTAAACAAAAACAAAACAAAGAAAATGCAGCTACGAGACGAGCAGAAGGTTGATAAAAAATTCTTGAACCGGCCCAGAGGCGATGGCATTGATGTCGTCGATACACAAAAGTATCTATAAAAGCGCATTCAACTCTTTGGCATGATAAATGAAAATTGTTACCAGACAGTTGGAACAAAACAAATGAAAGCAATTTTGGGGCATAAACTTCTTCTAAATAAAGCATATTGAATCATATTAACATTATCCGCTGTATATGATAAGATTTGGTATAGATTATGTGCTTATCTTATATACATACATAAAGCTTATGTCCATAAATATTTCACTTTATCTAAGTGTGTATAAAATTGGATGAATTGTTTTATTTATGTTAGAATTGACTATATACTAAATCACAATCCCATAGTTCTCTCTGGTCCTCTGTCCTCCCACTGTGCAGTCGAAAATCTGCGGCAGCTGCTGTTTCTGCCCCTGTTGATACTAGACGCTCAAATCAAACACCTGATGCACGGACAGTTTTGTAGTGAGATGGGCGTGGAAATGCAGCCCATGCAATAACCATGCTGCCCACATTTGGCCTAATGCCACGTGTCGGAATCAGAGGCCTGGTTTACACATCAAGTCGACAATGTGATGCATTTATAATGAGAACATACCCACAAACACTCACACAGACACACACACACTGGGCCAACATGCACAACTGAGCGGCGCGTGTGTCACTTGTGGTATAACAGTTTAGTCTTGGGTGGATATTACATTTCGCTTTGGAGAATTATACGATGTTACCAAACTAACTGTGCAATTTCCTGGCCATATAAAAACTACATTAACACGAAATAAGAGATGGGCTACTAATGCGCTAATAATAGAGCAAATCAACTTATGAAAGCAAAAAGGCAAAACATCAAGAGTTGCTACCCTCTGGCGTTGACCCACTAGTCACATGGGTGTGAGCGTGTGTGTGAGTAGTGTGCGTGGGTGTAAGCGTGTTACAATTTTTATGAATGGCATTGAACACCCACACATAGATTAAACAGTTAGTCAAATGTACATCCTATGAAGAAAAAAACGTAAGCTTAAGAGAAACTCTGATCGAAACTCTCTTAAGTTGAAACTTAACGCAAAAAGTTATCTTTAACAAACAACTGTTATAAGGCACATGTTTTTATTAGCTCAAGTCTAAAAACAATCCGTTTATTGGCCAGTAAAAACTGTGAAATTAGCACGCTTCACTTATCAAAAACAAAAAAGTCCAAAACATTGTATTATACCTAAAACCTGTTAAGATAATGCAGAAATGTTCGGTTCTTGCACTAGTTCTTTTGAAGGTCGGCGCCTAAAAGGCGGCACACCATACAAATTTTAGAGCACACACACACTTAGACGCATACATACGTAGGAAAAAGTAAAAGTTTGAAAGTCACAAGTTAACCTTTAACCTAAATCAAAACTAAGAGCAACAGTTTACGCTCTTTCGTTGCGTCTTTTATATACGACAAAACTGTTATACGAGTGCCGGTTTTTCTTGAACTAACAAAAGAACAACAAAAAGTAACGGTCATCCATGTATATTGTATGAAGGAAGACAACCCTTAAGAAAGTGCGTCATAAATGAGGGTAGTTTGCCAAGGGGGTTGCTATGCGGATGGATGAGACTCCATGCGAAGTTGTTTGTCTGAAATCTGTGTGAAGCGTAACAATAGCCAACATTCCTGCTGGCGTTGTTAGTGCTTCTGCCGCTTCTGCTTTTGTTGTTGTTGTTGTTTTTGCCGCTGTCGTTGCCAATGTGCAAATCAGCTGTTTCTGCCAAGCGCAACCCTTGCGCCGCATACCTGCAAACCAAGCACACGACGAGAGAGCGCTTCGCAAAGCCAAAGAGCGCCTTCGGCCAGGTGGCCATCGCAATATGCCAGAGAGCGGCAACGGGAGAGCGGCTAGCTTTTTGTTTAGAGAGCTTGCGCGCTTGAACTTCAAATGCATTGCATGAAAAATAGACATCGGCGAGGCAATCGCAATGTCAGCAACCGCATGGCGAGAATATCTTTTTTGTTGCAGTATTTTTTCCGTTTTTTTTCTTTCCTTTTTTGATTTTTGCATTTGTTGTTGTTTGTAATTGAAATTGTGTTTGTTGTATGAGGTTATATGTAGTTGTTGCTATTGCGTTTGCGTTCACATTTGTCGCTGGCTGTTTTGTATATCGTAGTATAACAGTTCTAGCTGCCCCGTCGGTCGGTTTCAGTCGTTTGTTGGTTACGACGAATTTTCATTTTATATCGAACAGCGCAGCAGTGACGACGACAAAGTCTGTGTGTGGTGATTTTTGTTAGTATCTCTCGCGGAGCACAAAGAAAAAAAATTGTATACACCCAGAAAATATATTTAAAAAAATATATAAATTTATGAAACTTCAGTTCAAGCTATGTTGTAAACTGCAGCTCAGCGTCATTTGCTGTACGTGTAGTAGAGTGTGAAACACGTAAGCCAAGTTCCGTGTGCACTGGTGTTGTTGGTTCGGCTGGATTTGTTGTTGCTGCTCGGCCTGTTTGTTTCGTTCAATTCAGCTTTTATCGATCACACGTTGCGGGGCCGTCGACAGCCAAAGTTTTTCTGTTTTCTGCTGACGCTCAGAATTTCGATTTAATACAAATTTAACAATCAAATTTCAATGCTTAACAAATTATACAATTGCATTGCCATTATCGACAGCGCCAACAGCGACGGCAACGCCGACGTCGACGCCGAGTACGTACAGCACCCCCAAAAAGCAGTGGTCGCGGCGACGGCGGGCAGCAATGCAAAAATGTGCCATACATAAAAGCAGCAGCATGTACAACTAGCCCCAAAAGCAAGAGTATAGCAAAACGAAAGAGTGCAAAGTCAAAGACAAAAACAAAGTGCAGCCAAAATTTGCAATGCCACAACAATAACAAAAATACAATTTTTACTTTGGTCAGTCAGCTGTATCCAATACAAAAATATACAAGTAAAGAAAATTATTAATAACAAAAAAACAAACTCATGCACAAGCACAACACAACGTGACAAATAGCAAATATCCACAAATATTTAATAAATTAAAATATTTCCATATATAGTCGCGCTCTCTCTTTCTCTCAGTCGATAATGCATAAGAACTTTAAGTAATAACAATTTAACAATAACAACACACGCACACATCCCATATAACGGCAACTAAAGCTTCGCCACTGACTCCGTGAGAGCAGAACTAAAGAGCGGCAACGCCATAAGCATTGTAGAGTGTGGGAGTAGCAGAGAGCGCATTAAATGCTGAGCGCGCGCAAAGATAAAACACAGTAGCAGCAGCAGCAGCAGCAGCAACAGCGACGTCGACAGCGGCCGTTCTAAGGCTCGCATAACTCGCAACGGCGCCGAGCGCGACACTTCGGCCACGCATAACAGACAAATCGACGACTGAGACTCCCTCTGCAACTGCTGGCGGGGGCGAGCGTGTGGGCGCGCGCAAGTGAAAAACGAAATTGCAATTAAAAGAAATTTTGCTCCGAACTTAAAGTTAAAAGCAAAAGCAGAGTGTGTGCGCTTAGGCAACTAACGGCTTATTAAAAGCAACTCAAAATCAACAGTAAAACACAATTATGGTGGACACCAATAGCAATGCGGGCACCACGGCGACTGCTGTTGGCAACTCGGCGGCACGCCTGCGCAAATTTGATCGAACCGATAGCGAATTAGCCTGCGAGGAAGCGGCACGTCTGACCTCCGAGCAGAACTATAACAGTCCCGATGATGACAACGATGAGGAGGAGGATGATGACGGAGATGGAGATGGAGATGGAGATGATGAGGACGAGGTTAGCGTGTACGGCGAATTGCCGCCACCGCCGGACGGTGGCTACGGCTGGGTCATTTGCTTCGCCAGCTTCATGTGCAACATGATCGTCGACGGCATCGCGTACACCTTTGGCGTATTCCTGAACGAGTTTGTCGCCTATTTTCACGAGGGCAAAGGCACCGTCGCCTGGGTGGGCAGTCTCCTATCTGGCGTCTATCTAAGCGCCGGTCCCATCGTTTCCGCCCTGGCCAATAAATATGGCTGCCGTGCCGTCTGCATCGCTGGCAGCATCATTGCCTGCATTGCCTTTGTGCTGAGCACATTCAGTGGATCCGTGGGCATGCTTATGGCCACCTATGGCGTCATGGGCGGCTTTGGCTTTGGCATGATCTATTTGCCCGCTGTGGTGGCCGTGGGATACTACTTTGAGACGAAGCGTTCTTTGGCCACGGGCATTGCCGTGTGCGGCTCGGGCTTTGGCACATTTGCCTTTGCCCCACTGGCCACCTACTTGCTGGATGAGTATGGCTGGAAGAATGCGTTGCTTATCTTCGCTGGACTGATACTCAATTGTGCCATCTTTGGCGCCATGATGCGCCCGCTAACCTATCCCAAAAAGAAGAAGGTCAAGCCACTGATGCAGCGCATGTACGAGGAGAAGCAGATGCAGCTGGAACGCGGCTCGTTTGCGGGCTCACATTTTATGGTGCAGTTGCCCGACGGCACAATGGAGCGTAAGTTAAAATTGCCACTGAATGCCGATCCTGGTGTCCATTCCAGCCTCAATCTGGAGCTGCTGGCCCAGCAATCTGGAGGACTGCATCCGGTCTCAACGCTGCCCACCATCACTGAGTCCAAGGTGGTGGAATTGAATGCTCAATCCCCTCCAAACAATGGCGCTGCCGATAGCAATGGTCAACTGTCCACGCGATCTGGTCGCCGATCGCAGCGCAACTCGGAGAACGAGCACAGTCCATATCAGTCGCAGGATGCGATGATACGCAATGCCTCCCAGCCCGCCTTCCTCGCTGGCGATCACCAAAGTCTTCCCAAAAACGGTTCGGTGCCATCTTTTAGCCGCGTCCGTAAAACATCCGGCAGTGAACGTTACCAGCCCTCGCTGGCAGCCATACGTGCCTCCTCCCGCGCAGACATCGAAGCGGGTGCCGGCGCCGACTTCAATACCTCAAAATTGTCGCTGTCCCAGCGTCAAGGCAGCTCAAGCGGCAGCGGTGGCCGCATGGTGCGTCCCATGTCACGCAAAGACATCTTCTACTCCGGCTCCGTCACAAATCTGCCTCAATATCAATCCCAGAAGTCTCTCACAAATTACCGCAACTCAGTGCTGTCGCTCACCAAGTACGAGAAGAGCATGCAGAGCATGCGTTTGGATCCACTTGCGGAGGCGGACAAGCATCGTGAGGAGTACGATCTGTGCCCGTGCCTGTGCATACCCGACTCGGTTAAATCTGTTGTGAACACCATGTTGGATGTGAGCCTACTCAAGGATCCCGTCTTTATGCTAATGGGCGTCTCCAATGTATTCGGCATGGCTGGATTATATGTACCGTTTGTCTACCTGGTGGATGCGGCCAAGGAGCACGGCATAGACAAGAACGATGCCTCAATGCTGCTGTCCATCATTGGCATCACCAACACCGTGGGACGTGTGGCATGCGGCTGGGTGGCGGATCTGCCACAGGTCAATTCGCTGCTGCTTAACAACATCTGCCTGCTGATCTCGACGGTGGCCGTCACATTGACTCCACTCTGCTACAGTTATAGCGCCTATATAGCTATGTCAATCGCCTTTGGAATTGCCATTTCCGGCTACATTTCGCTAACGTCAATTATTCTGGTCGATCTGCTGGGCCTGGACAAGCTAACAAACGCCTTTGGCCTGCTTATATTGTTCAGAGGATTTGCGGCACTGATTGGCACACCGCTGGCGGGCTTCATCTATGATATAACCCATACCTATGATCTGCCCTTCTACATGGCGGGTGGACTGTTCGCCTTGTCAACCATAACCAGCTTTTTGGCGCCCTGTATGAAACGCTTTAGTAGCTCGGATGAGACGCCAGTGCATCCCGAGACGCTGACGCCCATCGATGAGGAACAGGGCGAGGATGCTGAGGAGGAGGATGAGGATCAACCAATCACCATAGTGCCCAAGATCATCAAAACTCTGGCCAGTCCACAGAAGGAGGAGCCGCCACAGCAATTCTACGCCACCCAACAGAAACCATTAACAACAACGGAATCAAAGCTCTAAGCAACAAGAATTTAAAACAAAGCAGAAACACAAACAAATAATATAAATAAATTGATGAAAGAGATTGAAGCGGAATGTAAGAATGAAAGCGTATGAATAAGAATAGAGTGCGATATTTTTCTAGCAACTTTATACAAAGAAGAGCCAAGTCGAAGGAGGAGCACAGGAGCACAGCAGAGCCGAAGAGTAGGAGCAGGAGAGCAAAGAGCGCACCAGTTTAGGCAGGGGCAGGCCCAGGTCCAGGTCCAGGTCCAAAGCGAAAAGTATTGTAAAGAGAGCACACAAAGAAAACTATATACAAAAAGCGCATATATATACCGTTTATATATGTATATAACGATACCGATACCGAAACTATGCCTAAGCAACTATTCAATATACATACAACTAATTATATACATATGTTATAGATTTGCTTGATGGCAAAAAGGAAATTCAAGAAAACTTGGCTTAGCTTCGATAAGATTGTAGCAGAGCTCTGCTGCCATATATAAATATTAGCTATATACATACAAATATATATAGAAAGAAAAAAAGTAATAATAATAATTACACGCTCATAAATGGAAAAAAAAGAACAACTATAGAAACTAGAAACTTTGATAAACTCTGATTGATTATAGTTTCAACTGTTATACAACAATAGCAACAACAAAAGCAAAAACTAGATTGTAAACTATTTTTATTATTTGTTTGATAAATTTTACGATTTTTAAAATACTATTATGTACCATTACTATTATTATTATTACTACCATTGCTATTGTATTTGTTATATGTATCATAATAACTCTCGATCTATATTATTACTGCTATAACTGTTGTTGTGCATTCGTTGTTATACCGCAAGTTTTTTAATGTGTCATACGGCCTAGTTGTAGTAGGAAAAAACCAAGTAGCAAATAGCAGAAAAAAACAAACAAATGTAAACCTTTCTATGGTAGTAGTTAGTTATTTTTTCGTATGTATAGAAAGAAGGTAAAGCGATAAACTTGTAAGCAAATTAGGAGAGGAGCAACAACTATTAAAAACACAATGCTAACTAATAAATTTTGTAATAAAAATTATTTTAAAGAAAAAACTCAACAAAAAAAATGAAATTGTTTTCAATTTTATCTAATAATGTAGCTTAAAACAGTAAACAAAAAACAAATGGAACATTTTATGGCTCATATTTTGTACACTATTGAAATTCAAAAATTTAAGCAAATACTAAGACAAGTCCCAAGTCCATGACAAAACAAATTTTTAAAGGCTTGTGCGTTTTGTTATACACAAGTACTAAAACTACAAACAAAATATACATATAGATGTGTTATATATATTATATATATTTTAAAGCTAATCAAATGTATAGTGTATACCACACATAAAGAGCAACAAATGCAGTTTTACACCATTTACACACACTTACACATGCTCCTAATTGATAACCAAATAAAACTGTTATACGCATCAAAGAATTATTGAGCGCTGAGCTATGCAAGCAAAATGAGAAAACAAAAAAATAAAAAATATAAAAAAAAAATATGCAAACACAAAGCAAAGCAGAACAATAAATGTTAGAATAACAAAAAATAAAATAAATAATTTTTGTCATATATATTTTGAGAACTTGAAAAACAAGTGTTATACTTTCAACCGTTATACAACTGGTGAGTTACACGCACATTGGATAAAATGGTATCATTTATACAGTTGGAGAGTTGCGGTTTTGTCTAAAGCTCTAAAAATCATCGATCAAAGTTCAGATAATAATAATTTTGTTGACGCCTTATCATATTACCTTGTACTCAAAATACGAGTACTGTGGAGAATGGGACTTGTGTTTTGGTCGTGCGCCACTTTAGCTAAACCTAGAAATCGCAGCCCGATTAAAAAACAGTCGCAACACAGGCCAACAAGATTAGCCAAATCAATAAATAGCGTTTAAATGAGCATTACGAATTATGAGAGCCCTGTAAAAACGCTAGCATTGCGAAAACAGTTACGATTACTTTATGGCATATATCAATCTATCTGTGCACACACTCCACGTGATATCAAAGTATTGACAAAGTCGCGGACGCCAAGTGCTGCGAAAATAACAACAAAATGGCCGTTTAGTCGTTTCGGCCTTTTAACAGGGTAAACACACTCTCACACACATGCACACCCAACTGGACAGCCCAGATATCAATTTTACTTTGGGCCGGGTGCATACTATATGTAAGCCATGTATATATGTATGTGGTGTGATCCACATCGGTTCGCCTTGCTTCACTCTTCCACATGCCGAGCAGTCAGTGGCCAGTGGCCAACAAAAATGTCAATGACTGTGTTTGATAAGGCGGAAGGCAACACTAAACCGGGCGCCATGCATCACACAAATGACCAGTGGGCAAAACGGAGCGAAGAACCAAAGAAAATTAGCAAAGCTTAATAAATGTCCAAACGAATTACGAAGACGCTTGGTAAGCAAAATGTTTGATAAAAGAAATAATTTAGATATGAATTTGACTAAAAATGTACTATGGAATATTTGTATTATACAATTATAAATCTTGCAAGTACCAAAATCTAATGTAAAGTAAAAGTTACACTTGTATTAATTTATATGTGCCTGTGAATATCACCAGATTACATATTTAAATTTATTTGACCTAAAGAACTTATACCCTAAGAAAAAGTAATTCGCACATTAGTCAACACTCGAAACTTAGTTTCAATCAGCAATTTTCAAGTGTTGTAAAGCGCAAGACAAGCGCATAGTGTACCCGGTTTGAGAAGTGTGTAGCCTATAACAATGCACATGCGCCACAAATGCAACAGTAAGTGGAGCACGACGTTGACGTATTATGACCACTGTATACAAAGACTGTCGATTGATAAGCTTGAAGAATACAAAACAAGAACAAAGAACAAACAGAGAGCGACGTCGTCCACTTGCACAGCTGATTAGTGGCAGAAACGGATAGTCGTCGAGAACTATATATATGTATATATGTATATACATGCACAAGTATGTTAAAACGATGTCTCGACAATAAACCAAACACCTGTTAAGAGCTTTTCCCCTAGCTGCAGTTCCTCATGGCAGACATTACAAGCACTTGGCCAGAACCAATTGAATCGAGACAGCTCACAACAAGCGCTTAGCAACAACACGAATAATTCGCCCCGAAAGAGCAGCCACAGCAATTAAACAAAAGTATAAAAAACAACAATAATTGCCAACTATCAGCACAACGAACTTTAAATACCCTTGTGGACATATGACATAGTGTTTTGATACTCAAGCTTTGTTTCCGTCTGTTTCTATTTGTTCCATATAATATAGTAGTCTGATTTTAAGGGAATAGGAAAGTATGGAGAATAGTTTCTTCATAATTGCTGATTTGGTCACGATATCTTGAACACATATACATTTGCACAAATACATTATACCCTTTTTACCAATTTTCAATGGGTTCAGAGTATACAAATTTTTCCATACAAAAACTCATCCCGAAGTTGTTAAGACTTTGCTCATAGATAGGGAACATTGTAAAGCGCGTAAATGCCAAGTTAGGATAAGTTATTTTACAAAATTAATTTTTTAACCGATTCCTCATATTGTGATAGGATTTCGTTCATACATAACAAGTAGGAAAATTAACAATGGACAACGTTGTTCATGGAAGAACTTAATTTATGACCGATCGTTCCTATGTCACCTATTTGTAACCTATATAAAATACACACAGACATACATTTCTATATCGACGTACATGACTATATCGGTTATTAATATGTGCTTTGTACTTTATGGTGTCGATGACATTGAGTTCTATGCGTTACACATTTTGCGACATAATTATAATACCCTCTACAAAGGGGTATACAAGAAAGAAAAAACTGGAAGACGTCGCAACGACGTCCTATACACGTATCATGTGATGTTTTGGGTACACCTGACACAAACGCAGCTGGGGTTCCCCTAGCAACATCAACCATAAACTAGGCGCACGCAGAGCGCCAAAGACGAAAGAAGAATCAGCACAAATAGCATATGACAAACACGACGAAGTATTTAAGCGACAATAACAAAATGTATCGAATTTTCAAAACAAAAATAAAAGCACGACTTGAATAAAGTGTATAACTAAAAGCATAAAGAACTCGAAAGTATTATCTGATATTAATTAAAATATGTAAACGAATTGATGCGATAGAAACTTGAATTTTTTATAAACAAACTGAATGCCGTTTTTTGAAAATTTACAAGGCGAGCTTTTTGTTAATCTGTTGGCATAGTCATAGTATCTGACAGTCTTTTCAAGTCTCATAAGACTTTCGCAAATTGAGACATAAACAAAGAATACGAGTATTGAAAATAAACAATTTTTATACAAGTTCATTGTTTTATCGAATCTTTAGAAGGTTCTTTATCAATGCGCATTTATATAATCACATTACTTGTCCGGAATGCTATCTCATATCAACAGAGGCGGACATGAATATTCATTTCATTTGAAAAACAGTCTATGAAGTAATTTGAATTTTCATTCAGACACATAAAAGATACTGGAGACATGCCTGATTAAATCAAAATTGATAATATACCTAACAAAGGTTATCGCAAATCGTTCATTATTCGGGGGAAATTATTATATAAATAGAAAAAAAAACATTATCAGTTATCCGGTGGTATCGAAACAGGCCCCACGTATAAAACGCAGCTTATCAGTGAAAATAATCAATTGTTGGCACTTACCCAATGCTTCCTGTGGGACTTGTGGGGTGGGTGTTTCCGTTTGAGGAGGATGAGCTGGCAGCTGTTGCTGCTGATGCTGTTCGATACAAATTGTTGGCTGCGGCTGCGGTTGAATGATATGATGTGGAGGGGCTGCCTGTACCAGCATTGTCGGCGGCTGAGCATCAGGCAGTGTCCAAGCGACAGGTATGGCACCAACGGGCGCAGCTCCACAGTCCGACAGTTCATCATCATACTAGAATAGTAAAAAGTTAATGAAGACAATTCGCTATGCAAGTTGTGCGCCTACCTGTGGCACTGGACCGGCTACTGGATGCATTGCTTGTAGGGGCGCGAGCTGACCATCATCGTAGATCTGCATAACACCCATTTGCTGCTGGATCTCGTGTATTTGCTGGGTATCGTAAATGGGATAGTTGGGACTCAACATGCTGGACGTTTCGGAGGAGGCCAGCGAGGAACTATTGTGGTTGAGTTCATCGCCATTCGCTTGCGCCACTTCCGGATAATCTTCGGCATACATATGTGCTGGATGCCACAACTGCGCCTGCCGCTCATCAACAACGGCGCCCTGGGCTTGGCCACCGTCGTCGGACACGTATTGATACTCGGACTGGGGCAACACTTGCTGATAGAAATAGCCGCCCATGTAGTTGTACATCTGTGCTCCATTGTACAGTGGCATATGTGAAAAATACAGAGGCGTGCCCGTGGCCTGATGTGCAGCAGCTGCTGCATTTGGCGGAGCTTGTATTGGGCCATGATGCGGCGCAAAGTATGCGGCCTGATATCCGCCATATGCAGCGTACGGCTGCGGCGCATAGTAGGACATTGGCTGCAACTGTGCCTCTGCCGACGGTGGTGGTGCCAATTGCTGACCCATCTGATCCGGCTGCAATTGCATGGCGCTTGGCGCGGGGCTTGCGCTCTCTGGTGGTAGCTGTTGCTGTGGGGGTTGCAACTGCAGTTGCTGTTGCATGTGCCGCTGTCCGTGATAATCATTGCGACGTTGTCCACCACCGCCGCGTCCACGGCCACGTCCACGACCGCGTCCACCCATACCGGACGGAATGTGCCCATTCGGATTAATCTGGTGGAGCGGGATTGGCGGTAGCTGTTGCATTAACGGATTGCCCTGCAAGACAAACAGAAAAGTTGAAATTTATTTAATCAAATTTTTTTGCCCCCGCCAGATGGATTAAGTCAATTAACATTTCAGACTAGCGGGTCCAAAACTCACCTGCTCCGGTGGCAGCTCGCCATGTGCACTCACATAATGGGGTGGAGCTCCGCCCCCTGGCATATAGGTGTGTGGCCAGCCATGGAGATTCACATTGGCGGTCACATTGTTCACAAAAACATTGTTGGGTATGGGCGCTGGTATCATCGCAGAATGATGGAACACAGGACCGTGTGCGCCTTGCGACATGTGTGGATGATGCGCTCCATATGCAGCTGGCATATGCAGAGTTTGTGGCTGTTGATTGTAGACGGGCACAGAAGTCAGAGTGCTACCGTTGTTGTTGGATGGTGAGACAATGCTGTTGTTGGTATTGTTAATGGGCGGCGGCTGTGGCGTCGTTGGTGTCGACACTGGCGTCGCTGCTGGCGGCGGTTGTTGCTGCTGTTGCTGTTGCTGCTGTTGCTGTTGCTGCTGTTGCTGCTGCTGGGCAACCGGCTGCGTTTGCTGCGCCATAATTGGAACGACTGCGCTACACTTGCAACGCAGTTGACAACTCTGACGACTGTCGGTGCAATTGAATTGGTTTTGGCGTTTCTGAACGTAACTCAGGATATGCACAGCACATGAACACTACTAACGCCAAACATTGAAGTTTTTACTGTGAAACAATAAAAAGAAAAATGTTAGCAAACGAAGCGCCAAAATTTGAGGTTAGGTCGGACAACCGCAAAACATCTGGCAACACCGCACAGCTGTCGGGCCCCAGCAAGAAGCACAAAACACAAAAAGGCAAATAAACACCGAGAGCAAGTGCAAGAGAGAGCGAGAACGAGTGTGGCCATACTGTACCGGGTGGGGTGACAGCCCCGCAAGACCCTTCTACGAACGAAACTGGCGTTCAAGTGTCAAAAATATATAATTCAAAACAATACGATTTTGCATGTCCACGCTTAAAGCCGGCTGGCAAAAAAAATTCTTGGCTAACGTTTGACACACAAATACACCCACAATAATTCACACAAGATGTACGCACATACAAACACATACACACACACACCTGTACAACAGGCACCGCACTACGTCACTCAACTGGGGAAAAAAAAGTAATAAAGTTGCAGCCTGTAGACGACGCTTTTAATAAATGTCGAAATTCTAGCTAATTCGCATAGACTGCGTAACTTAAGCATGTAAATGCACGCATTCCAATGTCCAATGGCGGCGTCAGCGACCGGACCCATCGAAGCGAACACCACGTTGACGGCAAAAGAGAGCGCGGCGGAATGTGCCGCAGGGAGGGGTTGGGGGCGAACGGGCAGCAACACTAGGGCAAGAAAATAAGTGTGCGGTGACTTACCTTTAATGGTCAGGCAATCGTAATTCAGTTCTGTAGCAAATCTTTCATGTTTTATGCGTGCGGGCGGCCTTTTGACAGAGCGACTGGCGGCTACTGCCAATGAATAATACGCGTTTTAGTTTCACTTGCCGCGGCACTTTTTTTTTCTTTCTTAATGACACGACGAATTCTGTAGGCAATTTTTCCACTACGCTTTTGTCGCGTCGGCTGCTGATCTAATTAACACTGTTGCTCCCTGCTTGCGCCACCCGCACACGCACTAGTATGGAAATCTGTATTATACAAATTGTTAGCGCTTGCACAAACACTTAATTATTTTATTTGCATGTGCAACAAAAAAATTCTTTTATTTCTTTTCTTTTGCTAGTGGTGACAGTGTGACCTGTTAACCAACAGCAATCTTAACAGCGACTAAATAATAACATTTTCTCAAACTGTTAAATAACAGCGTGAGCGAAATTTTTCCTGAAAAAAGGTGCCGCTACTAACCGTGTATGTGCTTTTTCAAGACTAAATAACTTAAAGTTTAGTTTTTTTGAAAGCAAGGCTAATAAAAAAGTTGTTTTAGAACAAGGACACAGACTCGAGTTCAAAATTAACAGATGCAAGTCGGCTCCACACGCAGTCTTAAATTGCTGATCCAGAGATGGTGCGTAATAACAGAAAAATAACAGATGGACGATGACTGTGTTATTCAAGAACAAATCGATAACACAAATGGTCTTTGATTTTAAAAATGTAATTTTATACGATAAAAACTTGCATATTTCGAACTAAATATGGTTTCTATTGTTTTTCTTTATTTTTATTGCAAATATGCTGTTTTAAATTGGGCTCTGAAAGTTAATTAGAAAAACTGTCCACATTCAGTGTGGTCGTATTAATGTATCGATATGTTAAGTATTGGTCCAATTAGAATGTTTAATGTGATGACCTATCGTTACCTACGTACATAATGGGAAATTTACCTTTGGTTTTTAAAATATATATTTACAGAGTCAAATACATAATTGTAATGCAATTGAATTCTCAAATTAAAGCTTTGACTTGCGCATGGCAAAATTGATTATGGCTTGCATGCACTCATCGTCGTACATTCGTCTGAGCAGCGCTTCACACTCCGCATCATTGGCACGGACAAGATTATCCCGCAATCCTAGCTGAATAAGGCGCTTACACTCCCGCATCGAATTGGGAGGCAGTTCAGCATACTGTCGAATCTTTGGCCATACCACGGATTCCAATTCACTTAGTTTAAAGATGTGGGAAACGAAATTGAAATGGTAGGCTTCCTGGGCAGAAAGTTTCTCATTTAGCACCAGCATCTCAGTAGCCTTTGATCGACCCATGATCAGTGGGAACATAAAGCTGGAGCAGGCCTCTGGCACAAGACCGAGTTTGCTGAAGGGCGTTAGGAAATAGGCCTGAAAAGCAACAGCAACAGGTTAAATTATAATTAAAAAACAACAACTTATTGCCAAACCTTTTCGGCACACCAGGCCACATCGCTGAGCCCAACAATGGTGGAGCCTATGCCAATGGCCGGTCCATTGACCAGCGAAAAGATGAGCTTGGTGCAATTTATAAAACTGTTAACCATAGCTTTGAATGTTGCATTTGATTCCTTGAAGTAGGCATCCATGTCACTGATTTCAGAACTCTGGGACAAATCATTGCCGGCGGTAAAGAAATCACCGACACCGGTAAACACAACAATTGTCACGCTTTCATCCTCGTTGACAGCGTCCAAAACACGCGTCAATTCTTTGTATCCATTGTAGTTTAGACAATTTTTCTTTCGAGGATTATTGAATTTAACAACGAGAATTTTGCCCTCCTGCTGGACGAGTAGGTGCTTATAACCTTCGTACGGCATTCTTCGTTTACGTATTCAGAGGTCGCCGGTAAGATATCAAATGATTTGGTTATGCTACATTGTAAACAAAATTAATATTAATAAAATACAATAAAGTGAGTCAAAATACAATGTAACTCACAGCAATGTTATTTATACTCTTGTACATTGCATTTATTCAACACAACAGCTTATTCTTAACTGAGAGCGAAGTCCAAGAACATATGAATACAAATCTAATCGAGATTTAATAGCTCAGCTCATTTTATGCCCCGTCCAATAATAATAATAAGTCCACAGGTTATATTAAGTAAGGTCGACAAGGTGCTGCCGTCTCAGAGAAATCAGAGGTTCTCTGACGTCACGAGATTATCTTTTAAAAGCCAATGGTCTGGCAACGCTACAAGCTACAATTTTAAACTAACAAATGTTTTACTAGCAGTTATCGTTTCTTGTTTTAATAAATCGATAATGTACCGCAATGTAGCGGATCTCAATGCAGACATGTATAATCTTGTCGTCAGAGCGTTACCCTTTAATAGGTACAGCTTTTCAGGTTGGCAACGCCATTAAAAACAATTTGAATTTAGGACATTAATAACTAGCGTTTACCTTCTTATTGCTTACTTTTTGTACAACATTTAACTTAAGACTAAGGCTATTCGCTAATTTCATCAATAACGGGCACATTCTGCAGCTCTGAGCATTTGCGCTTCCAAACCGAGAGCTGCTCTCTCAACACCTTCTCCTTGGCAGCGGCGCGGGTCAGCAGAACTTTTGCTTTTTGCAATAACTGAGTCTTCTTCATCAGCTGCTCCTTAATGTATTTCAACTCCTCATCCTGGATAAGGGAGTGAATATAAATCAGATTGCCTTTAGTTATTATTCATACGCTACCTTTCCACTACTGCTGCGCTGCTTAAGTTCCTGCTGCAGTGCAGCGATTTTCTCCAACGCATCCGCATGCAGCTGTTGGAGTCGCGCCAGCTCCGACATTACTGACAGTGAGTCAGTCGAGCTACGCGACTCTGTGGAATTTCGGCCATCTTTAAGGAACTTATTCTCCGAACGCAACTTCTCCACCAGATTGCGCAGCGAGAGAATCGTGTGCTCCGCGGACTGGCCCTGGTGCGTGTTGACCTTAAGGCCGCTGCACTTGCACAAATCACGGCGTGACTCGGTGCGTGCCATCTCCTCCTTAAGTGCAAGGATGTAGCTGAAAGGGAGTCGAGGTTAAGCAATAGATCTGAGCAGGATATCTGCGCTGCACTTACTCCTCCAGATGCTTAATGCGTTTCTGTAGTCGGTCGCTGCTATCGCCCTGTCGCAGAAGATCCGTGTCCAGCTGTAATTGCAAATTGCGCGCTTCCAGGCGTATATTCTGTGCCTCCAACGCTTGGCAGCGTTCTTGCAGCTTCTCCAGTTCGGTGGTTAACGCATTGCTACCACGCCCCTCCAGCTCCATGGCAATGATCTTGCGCTGTTGCATCTCAATGCGCGCCTTGAGTGCCTCAATTAACTCCGATTGGCCTTGCTCATAGAAACTGTGGTGACCAGAATGCGGCTGGGATTGATTGTGAGCCGGCGAGCTGCACTCGCTGCTTGGACCCGTATACGTTTCCGGACTCTCCGACGGGGAGGGCGTAAACTTTGCCGCGCCCACATGCTGCAAATTGGGGCAGGACGGAGCACGACAACATTTCAAACTATTGTGGGCATTGACACTAGCTGTTGTTGATGTCGTCGTTGTACCTCCGGTTCCACCCTTGCCCAACTTCGACTCAAGCAGATGTTTGTCCTTCTCTAGACGGGCTATGGTTGTGCGCGCCGCCTGAAGCAGCGTGCGCGTCTTGTCCAGCGCCAGCTCTGTCTCGTCAAGCTTACTCTTGAACTTATCGGCCTGCTGCTGCCATCGCTTTTGCTTCTCCCAGAGGCCCACCTCGTTGGCGCTTCGCGTGCGCTTGGCCTCCAGCAGGGTTTGCTGGCGCTGCAGCTGCGCACGCGAATCTTCCAAATCCAACTCCAGCTGCTGTATGCGCTTTTGCAGATTCTCGTTCTTAACGCGCGCATTTAGTTCCGTTTTGATGGATACCACCGGACGCTTCAGCAGCTGCTGGCGCAGTGATTGGCTCAAATCGCGCGCCTGTTTCTCGCGCTGTGTGACATTGGTCAGCTGTCGACGCAGTGCCTCCATTTGGGTGTGATAGATCTTGTTGGTGGCCTCGATACGATTCAGATCGGCGGCCAGTTTTGCGATCTGATCCGCCGAGTAGTTGGAAGTGTCGTTGATATATCGCTGTTGATCGTCCTGTGAAAAGGAATAAGACGTGGAGTGAATCACGCCTTGAAATAATCTTGAACATTATACAAACATGGAAGTTCTTAAGCGTGTCCATCAGATCACGGATGTGTTTGTCCTTCTCCTCCAGGAAGTCCCGCAGCTGCTCTAGCTCAGGATTGCTGGTGCTCTCCATGCATTTCTCTCGATCCTGGCAGAGTTTTAATCTGTTGAGTAAAACAAAAGCTTAAGGCTGTATTGAAGCGTTTTTGCAGTTAAAGGTAAGTTAAATTTGAAGCATTTTTTAAATAAATTAAATATTGACTTTTCTTTCTTTTATAGCTTAGTTAAGGACTCACTTTTCCCTCAGTATTTCCACTTCTTCCTCGCGTGTCACCAGACTCTGTTCGCAGTAGCTCAGTTTGTCCTTAAGCTCTTTGATTTGCTTGTGCAGGGTGGGCAGCTCCTTAAGCTCCTCTGTATCCTGTTTCTCTTGCTCGCCCGCTGCCTCATCGGCAACAATAACTACAGAGGCCTGCTGCTCGATCTCCTCCTGCTCTGGCTGCTGCGGACTTCTATCCACGGAGCTATGCTCAAACATTTCCTCAATTTTTTCATCGGTCAGTTCGTTGAGGGAATTCTCACTCGTCTGGGCACCGACAGCGCCAGGCGGCTTGTGCAGTTCCAGTTTGGCTTTCAAATCCAAGATTTCCAAGTCTTTGGTCTTAATGTTGAAATTCAAATTGTTAACCGTGGCCTTCAGTGTTTCATTCTCAGCTGTTTGCTTTGTGATCAGTAGTTGAGATTGTTCCCTTTCCGTTTGCAGTAGGTCCTGAAACTTTTGTATGGACTGATCCTTCTCCAGCAGGAGCGTGTGAAAGGAGAGAATGGTCTTCTCCACAACGCCGCTGTGTTGACTATCGGATTCGCTACCGACATTGGTCGTCTCCAGCTGCTTGCCCAGCTCCTCAATGCGCTGGTTTGCTGCCTGCAGACTGCTCCAAGAGGAAAGTATTATATCAACATATAAAATTCACAGTTCTAATCTTTTGATCAACTTACTCTGCCCGCGTTTTTTGCAGCTCCTCATCAGCCTTGCGGTATTCCTGCGCCGTTTGCACACCTTGATGCTGCTGCTGTTGTGTTTTATTGCCATTTGTTTGGACTGCCGTCTCCAACAGCTGCACTGCCGCATCCTCAGTTTGTGTGGTCGTATCGTGGCTGGATAAGCGCCTTTTCGGCGATCCAATAGGCGATGACTGGCGATCTATAAGCTGTGCTGTGCGCCGCATGGCAGGCACTGGTGCTGCTGCCTCCGTATTGGTAGCCACATCGACGCTCGCAGCTTCTGTACGCTCTCCGTTCGGCTGTCCAAACAACGCCTCAATCGTTTGCCAGTGCTCCGACTCGGCGGCATGCTGTAAACGCAGCTCGGTCAGCTCCTGTTGGAGCTCCGCATGCTTAACCTGCAGACTCTCGCAGCGCTGTTCCAGCAACCGGGTCTGTGTCTCCGATTTGATAAGCTTAATCAGCTGCTGGGAATTCTCTTCGTTGGGAGACAATTTTGACAGCACCGCCTGCAGCACGTGCTCTACAAGCGCCGAGTTGTCGCCAGACTGTTCCACTTGCTGCTGTTCTCTTAGTCTGTTGAATTTCTGATGCGCGAACACAAAATTGGTAAGGAAGATCAGGGGTGTGAATTTGGCATATTTCTCCTTGAGGGTAAACAGCGAACGCTGCAAGAATCTGTAAGCAAAAAAGTAATCACAAGATAAAACACTTGACTAAAAGGCAACAAGAAAATTCGGGCAATCGCTAGATGATCGTAGGGCTACCTATGGGTATTATAGGGTATTATAATTTTGTCGTTAAATATGTAACGCATAGAACGGACATCTCCAAGCCCATATAGTGTGAATATTCTTGATCAATATCAACATCCGAGTTGATACAGTCAGGCCCGCCATTCTGTATCTACTTATAACTAATCTCTCTGTTTTAAAGCTATCACGAAACTAAACATAGATCCGTCTTTGTGTTGCACGCTTGCTTTAGTTACTCACATCGTGACCCAATCCAACCCATGTTAACTTACTTCTGTTTAATATCGCTGTTGTTTCGTTCCAGCTGGAAGTCCTGTTGTGTCTGTGCCGTCAGACGCTCCGCTGCCTGCAATTGGGTATTTAAACTTTCCACGTCCTGCTGCAAACGCTTGCGTTCCAGTTCCAAGCGAGCAGTTTCCGCTTTGGCTGTAAAATAATGGCAATGGATCAATATGAACTGCCTGTATTTATGCGAAGCATCATCCACCTGTGTCCAAGTCACGCTGCATTTTGGCTAGAACTAGCTTGTCGTTGGAGCTGCTTTGTAGATCCGACACCAGATGACGCAAATTGATGTGGTTATCGGTTATTTCGTTGAGCAGCTTCTGCTGCGACTGTATCTGCGCATTGGCTACCTGCAGCAGACCCTCGAGCTGTTTGTTCTCCCGCTGCAGCTCCGCCTGCTGAGCCTGCCATGTGGCCAGAGTCTGTCGCTGTTGCTCAAACTCCGCAGCCGTCACATAATCCAGCTGATAGCTGTCTCCAATGATGCCGTAATCCGCACAAATATCCGTAAGCTTCAGTTCGCCCAGCAGCTGTTCCATGGCCTGCGCCAGCTGCATACTGAGTATGGCGTTCCGCTGCTCCAGCTGTTGCCGTTCCTCCGTCGTGCAGAGATGCGTTCGCTGCACTGTGCTCAACTGAGCGCACTTGGCAGCCAGCTCGGACTTCAGCTGTTCCAATTGTTTTTGTAGGTCAGCTGTGTTCTCAATGTGACGTAGCTCCTGTCGCTTCGAGTCAGACAGCAGCTGATCGTAATCCTCTCGCATATAGCCATAGGATCTGCTCTGCTCTTGCAGCTGCTTCTCCAGGCTGATCATCTGCTCGTGCAGCTCTTGATTGCAACGTATCAGCTCGTTACCATCGGCGGACATGTGCAGACGCAGCTCGTCGTAGTGCTTGCGCAGAATGGCCAGCTCCGCTAGCTCGGCGGAGCCAGGCCTAGGTTTTTCCAGCTCCTGTTCCGTAATGACAGGTAACTGCAGTCCCTCGGCTACCTCATTCGGTGTAGTTGGTCGCGTGGCCGAATCAATAACCATTACTTCCGTCTGCTCCTCCGGCATTTCAGATATATCCCGCATGCTGTGTACCGAGGACAACTCGCCGGTTTCTGACTCGCTGGCATTTTGCTGCAACAACTGGCATAGCGCCTCCTCGCGAGCCTTCAGCACCTGCAGCTGGCTGTTGAGATGCGGCATGGCTGAGCCACTGGGCAGTGCTTCAATGAGACGCCGCAACAGCTCCGAATCTATGGTGATGTGTTCCGAGGTGGCTTTAAAAATTTAAGAGGATAACATTTAATCCATGGAGCAAATGAATGCTTTGCTCTGCCCTCTATCGTTAACCTACCATCATATTCCCGCAGCTTCTCCAGTATCTCATACATGCCCATGCGCAGCGTTTCGTTCTCGGCCAGCACATCCTCGTATTTGGTTTGCAGTTCGGAGCTGGCAGCACCGTCACCCTGGCCACGACGTGGTGAATTCTCTAACGGCGCGCTTGGTGGCAACTCGCCAACTTCACTGGGCTGATGCAGTGACTCGTCCAGCCTCTGGGGCTGTTCTCCGTTCTGCAGCTCCAGCAGCTTGCGTCTGTAAATTGCTGGCTTGATTAAAGGACACGGACATGGTCTCATCATGGACTCACCGCAGCTCACACTTATCCAGCTTTAATTGCAGTCGGAGCTCCTCGGAGGTGCGCAGCTTCAGCGTTAACCTCTCAATCTGCTTGTCCTTGTTGCGCTGCTTGGCACGCACATGCTTGGATAGGACAACAACATCGTCAGGTATGTTTAGCCTTCGTCGCAGCACAGCATTCTCCTGTTCCAGCTCGTGCATGGCATTTAGCTCCTGGGTGTAGCTACGCAGCTGCTTATCCCGCTCGGCCAGCTTTTGCTCGAGCCCGGAGCAACGACGCAGCGCCGGAACGAGGCCATCCTCGCCACGTTTATATGCTTCCAAGGCATTGAGGGCGTGCAGCGCCTGCTTGGCCTTGAGCACATTGTCCTGCTCGGAGCTGTCGAGCAGCTCGGATAGCTGCTGCGACCGGGCATTTGCCACGCGCAGACGCTCCTCAATTAGCTGGCAGCAGGCGCGCGGTTTTTGAGGATTCTTTGCGCCCTCGTGCTGCACGCACAACTGATTCATTACCTTTGTGGAGCTCACCATCTCATCCGTCATGGATTTCAGCTTGTCCTCAAGCATTTCAATGCGTTTTTCACGTAATTCCAGCAGCTGGAAGATTAAAATTGAAAGAGACGTAGAAAGTGGGGAGACATGGGCACCTACATGTCGCATATTAATCAGCTCATCGTCTAGCGGACTCTGTTTGCTGCTGGAAGTGGATTCCAGCGTGCTTTGGCCTGAAGTCATCTGCTCTGTCCTCTTATGCAACTGTTCTAGTTCCTTATCCTTTTGGTCTAACAGCTGCTTCCAGCTGAGCACTTGGCTTTCATACTTATCCAGGAATTGTCGCATTTCTAGCTCCTGCTTTTCGCGCTCATCCTCCAGGAAGGTGATGTTGCCCTCAAGTCGCGCGATTTCTAAACCCTGTTGCTGCTCGCGCAGCATCAGTGATTTCCGCTCCTGCTCCACTTGGGCAATGTCTTGCGAGATCTGCAGCAGGTTCGTTCTGATCTGCTGCAGCTCCTGCTCGTGCATCACTATGGTCTTTGACTGGGCGATATTCTGATTTTGCAGTGTCTGCAGCAAGAATGTTGGGAATTGGGTAAACAAAATCCAAGTCAAAGGTGAGACCAAAACTCTTACCTCGATTTCCCGCAGAAGCCGTTTAATGTGCTTGTTTTTGGTGTCGATGTTGTGCAGCAGATGTTCTTGCTTATCCAGCTCAGACAGTGGATCCGAGGAGTCCTTGTCACTGGCCTCAGCCTGCTGGGCAGCTTGCTGCAGTTGTTGCTGTTGCTGCTTGATCTCCACGCCCAACTGTTTAATTGTATTTTGGAATAATTCCAATTGTTTTTTCTGCTCTTGTTGATTCCAAGACTCACCTCCTTGTTCTTCTGCTTTAGGGCATCTCGTTCATTCTCTAGCTTCTGGACCATGCGCTTCAGCTTCTCGTTTTCATCCTGCAAACGTCGCTCACCGCTCTGCTCGTATTTCTGCGCCAGCTGCCCTTTGTACTCCAAGACGGCCAGGGTCAGTTCGAGTGTCTTGCGCAGCGACCTCTTGGGCAGCTCCTCTATCGTCTCCGCCAGCTCCAGTAGCGTCTCGTATAGCTCGTGCTTTTGCCGGGCACTGAACTCGCGAAACCTTCGCACAGATACAGTCTCTGGTATCTCCATGCTGGCTCATGCCTGTATCCAGCTCTCGTCTCGTGCAGCTTGCGTGCGTTATGGCGGTTCGTTGCGTTCTGAGCGAGTGAAAATTTCTGATTTGCTGCAAAGTGCTCAAAGCGCTCGCTTTTCATTTTTCTACGTTTTTTTTTTTTAATGCTTGTGCCAGCCGTTGCCATGACAGCTCGGTCAAAACAAACCCGCTCTCGGCTCTGACGCTGGCTCCGAGTCCCGGGGTTGGCCGCGCCGACGACGCCGACTGACTCACGTGCTAAAACGGAAACGGGGTTGCCGGCGACTGGTAATCACTAGCGTTTGTTTTTGTTGGCATTTTGTTTTGCTACCAGCTTCGGTTGTTCTATGCATGTGTGTATAAAGTTTTTTGACAGGATAATTGCCTCCACAAACGGGCAATGCCCTTCCCGAGGTGGGGGCGTGGCTATAAACAATTGCAGGTAACCAGGAAAGTGTTAATTGGCAAAGTGTCAGTGTCAAAGCAATGCGCGAATTGAAAAACCATTTCGAATTAGAAACTTTTAGTCCCTGACGCTTCCTTTGTTCTTCGGCTGCTCCTCCGCCCGCTCTCTGACAGCTCGTTGAGTTGGCGTAACAATCACTGCACAGTTGTCAGATTTACATTTGTCTAAATAATTGAAACTAATGGCAAACGACTTCGGTTACCCCCAATTTGTGGATTCCCGCCCAAATGTGAACAGTCGCACTTGCCCGCAATTCCCGAAAATTGAAATAATATTTTACATGCCAGTTGGGATAACAGCATAGACCTTTATTAGCTCGACACTGGAAATCTGTTAAGCTAAAGTCATAATTAACATATAGGCAAAAGATTAATTAAATAATTTTTTTTTTATTTTACTATATTGATAGGAAAATATTATTCGTTACAAACTGTAATATTTAAGCAGGTTGTATAGCCTTGTAAAGAGTTTTATAATTTTGTCACGAAATGTGTGACGCATAGAGGGAGACGTTTCCGACTCTATAAGGTATATATATATTTTATTAATGCTAGTCTCTATTTTTAGGATCTTATTAATGCTACCCCCTCACCACAGGTTCGTCTGACTTTGCATCAAGAACATATGTTGGAATCCGCTGGATCGGACATATTTCTACAGGGTATTTAATCTTCGTTGTGCCGAATATAGGCGTTCTTTATGTAATTTTATAACCTCCCATTTCAGACACACAATGCGGGTAGATCATTCTTGTTGCTCTTGGCATCCAGTTGTAAAAGCATAAACTCATAGTACACCAGCGTAGTCATCATCTAAGAAATGCATAACAATATAATTAAAACAAATCAATAGCAATTAAGAGCGAAACTCACTCCAAAGAAGCTTCTGCGTGTCAGGTGGAACAGACTCAAGCCGGAGAGTCCTATATACTGGCTCCTTATCTGATGGGTGAAACGCTGCACTTCCTCGGTCCAGTAATCGCTGGGCACCATAGTTAGCACCGTTAGGGGTAGCAACGATGCTTCGTGAATTCTGGAGGCGCACAAAAAGACGGCGCAGGTGCGGCCCAACAGAAAGAGCAAACTATACCAGAAATATGCATAATTGACGGGATAGCGTAGTTTGCTGTAAAACATATTCGAAACTAAGGATATCTCCTAGAATGACTGTGAGTAAAAAGCTTACGTAAAAATAGTTAATAACTTATTGCATATAAAGTAAATGTTGTTTAAACAGGAAAGCAACACAATATGCGATATATTGGTCTCAACCAGATCCATAAGTTCACATAAGAGTATGTGATGCATGCGTATTTCATGCCACACAGCATCAGGCACATGCTGCAAAAATAACAAAATAAGTCAAAGAAATATATGGAATATTATATAGTACAGCTCTTACTTGATATGCGAGAGCCAAAACTCGGTTTGCCAACTGTTGAAAGCGTTCGGCCAAGCCAATGCTTATCAAAATTATAAACATGTCCATAAAGTTCCAAATGAAGGTGAAGGTGCCATTCAAAAACTGAAAATTAAAACCAAATCCTTACATAAGTTTCAGTTAAGAAACCATAATAAAGTTACACCTACAAACGCATAGAATATAAAGATGGGATTGTAGGGCAACATTTCAAAAATATCCGCAAATTCCCTCTTCATATACCCGCTGAATGGTATATCCGTTACGTTTGTCTGACAATGCACAATTTGCATGCGATAATTATAATAGCTGGATGCATAATATAGGCAGTGCTCAACTAGAAAAAACCAAAAATTTTAAAGAAGTTTAAGTGCTGGCAAAATTGAAACTTACCCAACGTCAGGCAACCCAATGAACATCCAGTAATAAGTAGTTTACGGCGTAGGCTATGTTTCGTTGTCGTATAGGGTGGGAAAAGCATTATTATATCTATACCGCTCCAGGGCACTATTAAACGGTTCCAGCAACGCGCCAAACAAATGAAATTCAAACAGATTATCATTCCGCTGCTAAAAAATACGACGCCCACTGTGGAAGCAAATAAAAAAATTAGATTAAAAATGCATTTTGTACTCTTTCTAAAATATGCCACAAAGACGCTCTTTTGCTCTCTTTATCTCTAATATAGCCTCTCTATGCGATTTTCATAATGTCAAATAAAAATGATGTTGTTTAGTCTGTTCACAAGTGTGTGTTTAGAGCTAGAGTGCACATTATCTCTTCCATCCCCACTCTAACAAGGGAACCTTTCTATGCGATTTTCATGATCTTTAAAATTCTGCCTACATCAAATAAACTCTAATTTATTAGCCCCAATAAAGTGTATTCTATCTTACCAATATTCTTGGCATTAATACCGCCTTGAAACAGTTTTGTTGCTAAACGGATTGTCTTCACACCACCCAACAGCAAAAAGATCACCGAAAAGCACGTGCCCGAAGAACATAATTGAAAAGTGACCATCTGAGGATTAAGACTCAGCACATTTGCCAAGGGCATCATGCCAAGAACTTGCGCCAGGCACAAATCTGTGAAATGACAGAAGTAAAATATCATATTGTTGATACCAGAAAATCTACATACATGGCCTTATGGCACGGTGAAACGTATCCAGTTGCTCGAAATCCTCAACATTACCAGCACAGCGCCATTTTTGGTCTATTACAGCACGTTGCCGCCGGCGCTTGGCCTTCTGTAACCTCAAAATGTTTGGCTTCCGTTCAAAAGAATGTTTACCCGCAGCTTGCCGCATGTTGACTGAGTTCTGATTGCCGCGTTGATAGCGACTTTTTCCCACCAACTTCTAATTATTGTTTACAACAACGGACTCCCACACACGTGAGATAACTGGGTTTTTTTTTAAATGCAATTTCCTTTTGCAGTGTGACCAGCAAATTTTTAACTGGTGTCATGCATAGACGCAGGCGCTCCGTCTCAGTGTCCAAATGGCCAGCAACATGGAAGGACAGCCAGGTTGGAAATTGCGGCACATGTTCGGCAAAAAGCCGAAACAGGTGGATGAAAATTCCCCAACCAAGCAAACAGTCGAGGGGAATTTCGATTTCAATGTTATCAAAAGCGAGAAACCAACGGATTATGCTAATCAAGAAATATTTCATCGCGCTGTTTATCCCAGTAAGTAAAAACTATGTTCTAAATGACTATAAACAGACTTCATATGCTCCTAAATATTTGGAATGAAGACTACTGTTGAGCTCCTCTAAAGACGGTATCTAATTATAATATTATTCCTTATCGGATTCTTATTTTTCAGTCATGTTGGTGGGTCAGTGCTTTGCGTTAATGCCTCTAAGTGGCATCTGGAACCCAAGTCCGCGTCATGTTCGTTTCCGATTCAAATCTCTGCAAATGATTACCGCGCTGGTTTTCATGGCGGCCGCCTCGGTGCTGACACTTGGCATGCTGAAGCATTTGCTTAGGATTGGCGTTACAGCGAACAACTTTGGTTGGTATTAGCCGCAGACAAGTTAACAAAAACTAATGCCCTTTCCAATTTTCTATAGTGGGCCAGGTGTTCTTTACCTGTGTACAGTGCGCTTGCATTTTATTCATAGATTTGGCGCGTCATTGGCCTTCACTTATACGCTACTGGACGCGCCAGGAGTTGGTCTTTACCAAGCCACCCTATGAGGTGCTCAAAAGAAACCTCAATCAGCGTGTGCGACAACCTGCTCTCATCATTATAGCCATGTCGCTGGGTAAGAACTTGGCTAAGGCTATTTGACCACTAGATAATCAATTGTTTCGATTCCAGTTGAGCATAGTTTGTATCTTGCCTCTGCAATAGTTAGCTATCAACAACGCATACATATCTGTTCCAAAACTCACAATAGTACAGTAGACGCATCCTTTGACGATTATATAAAAAACAACTATATATATGTGTTCCAAGTGCTGCCCTATAACCGTTTCATAGCTGTCTATATTCTGGTAATTTGTATTTTTTTGTTTTTAATTTTTATATATTAATAGATTACTGTCCCTCATTTGCAATAGCTGGTAAATGGCACCTGCACTTTTATATGGAACTACATGGATCTTTTTATCATGATGATCAGCAAGGGCTTGGCCTATCGCTTTGAACAAATTTCGAAGCGTATTCGCCAGCTAGAGCATGAGAATCAGGTGCCGGAGACCACATTTATCGAGATACGCGAACACTATGTACGCATGTGTGAGCTACTGGAGCGTGTGGATAATGTTCTGTCCAGCATCATTCTATTATCCTGTGCGAATAACTTATATTTTATATGCTGTCAGCTGCTAAACATATTCAAGTGAGTGTTGCAATCCAGCTTAGCAGCTAAGGAGTATCCTAAGATTTACATTTCCTTCTAGCAAATTACGTTGGCCCATCAATTATGTGTACTTCTGGTACTCCGTGCTGTATCTGGTGGGTCGCACAGCTTGTGTGTTCCTCACAGCAGCCACCATCAATGATGAATCCAAGACTGCGCTGACCGTGCTGCGTCGTGTGTCCAGCAGGAATTGGTGTGTCGAGGTGGAACGCCTGATATTCCAAATGTCCACACAAACGGTGGCATTGTCCGGCAAGAAATTTTATTTCCTAACACGCAGGCTACTTTTTGGGGTGCGTATAGGTGTAAAGTCTTACATTTATTTTGTGCTAACAATACTTGGCTCCCCTATATTTAGATGGCCGGCACTATAGTTACTTACGAGCTGGTGTTGTTGCAATTCGATGAACCCAACCGCCGCAAAGGCTTGTTGCCCTTGTGCGCCTGAAAAATGGCAACAACAATTATAATTTGTCATGCCGGCTGACAGTCGCCCACAATTATCTTTAAATTATTGTAAATAGTAGCTGCTAAATTGACACGCCCACTCATTGCCTGCACGTACACAATTCGCTTAAGAGTTGACAGTCAGTTTTTGACCATGCCACAGGGCGAAACATTCCATCGCGCTGTCTCAAAAGGTACCTACATGATTCAAGCTCTAGTTCGACAGAATTTCAATATTTTCCTTGTTCAGTGCTTTTTATCTCACAGATCTATGCACTGCTGCCTGTGAGTAATATACGGTCCCAGCAGGTGGAGAATATTCAATTCAAATGGCTAAGTCCGCGCACATTTTATTCGGCAATTATATTGATACTCAACCTTTGTGAATTTGGTGCCGTTTTGAATCATGTCAGCAAGGTGGGCGTCACCTTTCACACGTCCAGCTCGCTGGCCCTATATATTGTCTGCCTGCTGGAGCATATTTTCTTCTGGAGATTGGCATTTAACTGGCACAGCATCATGAGCCACTGGCACCGTGTGGAACAGCTTTTTCTTAGCGTACCCTATCGCTTCTATAACGAGTATAAAATGAAGCGTCGCATCCACATTGTTTTCGGTCTGATCATGTCATCGGCCCTAGGTGAGTTTTATGGTATTATGTTATATTATAATTACTGTCTGGAGTTTGTTGTGTTTGTAGTGGAGCATTGCCTGCTGTTGGCCAACTCTACCCATTTAAGCAGTCTGGAGCGCACACAATGTAAAATCAATGTGAGCTACCTGGAAATCATCTACAAATGGGAGCGTCCACATCTCTATTACATACTACCCTATCATATCTGGTTAATGCCAATACTTGAGGTGATTCTCTCTAGTTGTTTAATATGGTCTGGCATTTATGCTCATGATACTTGCAGTGGCTCAATCAGACTATTGCCTATCCGCGCTCCTTCACCGATTGCTTTCTCATGTGCATTGGCATTGGGCTTGCGGCGCGTTTTCATCAGTTGCATCGCCGCATTGACGCCGTGCATAGAAAGGTGATGCCTGACATATTTTGGACGGAGGTGCGACAACATTATTTGGCATTGAAACGTCTCGTGCGACTGCTCGATGGAGCCGTAGCACCACTCATGCTTTTAGCCTTTGGAAATAATATGTCATTCATATGCTTTCAGTTGTTCAACAGCTTCAAGTGAGTTGGAACCGTGTTTGATTATTATTGTTGAGCTGAAAGTCGTCTTTTATTGTAAACAGAAACATCGGTGTAGATCTTATTGTAATGCTGGCATTCTGGTACTCGCTAATTTTTGCTATATTACGCACAACCTTAACTATATTTGTGGCATCTTCAATTCATGATTTTGAGCGCAAAATTATAACCTCACTACGTGATGTACCCGCCAAGGCGTGGACTACAGAGGTAAGAGATCTATATTAATTAATTTTTTCAGCTTCATTTTAATAGCGTTTGTGCTGGGCAGGTGCAACGCTTTAGTGAGCAGCTGGGCAATGATATGACCGCATTATCTGGCAATGGATTTTTCTATGTCACGCGTCAACTTGTGCTGTCTGTGAGTGGACCAAATAAGTCCATATAACTGGAACAGCTCTAAAGCCTTTACTTATTGCAGATGGCCACAACAATAATCACTTATGAGCTCATGATATCGGATGTCATTAACCAAGCAACAATCAGGCAAAGAACCGTCTACTGCTAAATCCTGTTTAATCTCATTTGCCGATCTTACTTAACTAAAAATACATAAATTAATATCCGTCTAAGCCCTGTAGGACAACCCTAATATGGGCCAGTATCTTTCTTAATGACTTGTTCATCTTATTTGCTGAGAAACACTACAAAGAGATTTGTGTTGATAAACTTTAAAGCACTTTCAAATGTCATGCCCAACCATTCAGATCCTAATGACAAACACGTTAATAAATATCCGACATACGCCCTGTTGTACACATTCGCTCGTCGATTGCAATCGCCGCTGAACAGAAAGAATTCTTTTCGCATGCCCATTTGCCAGTAAACAGCCAACAAATGAAGCAGAAACGACAGAGCTGCAATAAAAATACGCTCCAGCACGCCATTGGGCCCTGTAAGTTCTCCACATTAATTGCCCACTTATATAAACTATATAATTTATGGTTAGGTTAAATGTAGTTAAATAAACATTGTGTATTGTAATTGGATCTGAGATCCAGGCATACTCTTGTCGCATTATTATTATTTTTATTGTTATTATTTTTATAATTATTGATATTGTTTTAAGTATAGATTATAAGTATTCAAGTTATATAAATCTAATCAATTTTCCCATTACCTTATACAGTTCTGGTTTTCTCACAATTTCTTGGCGTGCTGCCCGTTTCCGGCGTCTGGCCCAGTTCTCCAGCTGAGAATGTGCGTTTTCGCTGGCTTTCTCCGTCCTTTTTTCTAAGCATCGTCATATTGGCCTTTGCCATTTTGGACTGTATCCTCTCATCCAAAGTGGTGCTCGATCATGGCCTCAAAATCTACACCATCGGTAAGACAAATTCTGTTTGTATCAGTGGATTCCCTTTAATAATTTTAGTCTCCGTCAGGCTCGCTTAGCTTTAGCGTTATTTGCATTGCGTGCTTGGGCGTTTTTCTTTCCCTCTCCCGCCGCTGGCCGCATCTCATCCGGCGGACAGCACATTGTGAGCAGGTTTTTCTGCAGCCTGGTTACGATTGCCATTTGGGCCGCCAATTCGGACGCCGCCTGCGCCTTTGGGGCGTGGGCTTGCTGGTGGCCGCACTCTGCGAGCACTCCACGTATGTTGGGAGTGCTCTTTACAGTAATTACCAACAAATACACGAATGCAAGCTGGACGTGGACTTCTGGTTAAATTATTTCGAGCGGGAGCGTCAGGAGCTCTTCTCGGTTTTCCACTTCAATGTGCCACAAGCGCTTTTTATTGAATGGACCACACTGGCCATGACTTTTGTTTGGAATTTTGTGGACATATTTTTGATACTGATCTGTCGCAGTCTGCAGCTGCGCTTCCAGCAGATGCACTGGCGCATACGTCAACATGCCGGGAAACATATGTCCAGCGAGTTTTGGGAGCAGGTTCGCTATGATTTGCTGGATCTATGTGATTTGCTCAAGCTGTACGATAAGGAGCTCTCTGGACTAGTTGTCTTGGCCTGTGCACATAATATGTACTTTGTGTGTGTGCAAGTCTATCATAGCTTTAAGTAATTGCTGCTGTTTGTTTGTAAAGGTCATATAAACTTATTCTTTTTATTCTCTCCAGGGCCAGGGGCAGCTTTATGGATGAGTTGTACTTCTGGTTTTGTCTGATATACGTTATAACGCGAGTCTTAAATATGATGTTTGCTGCCTCTTCCATACCACAGGAAGCCCAGGAAATATCATATACACTCTTTGAGATACCAACAGAATATTGGTGCCTGGAGCTGTGGCGCATACAGGAAGTTATATTGACCAATACGTTTGCCCTGAGCGGAAAAGGATATTTCTTTGTGACCAGGCGTCTAATATTTTCTGTAAGCTATAGCATTTGTATGCCTAAAGATTTGTCTTATTCATTATTTTTATGTTCTTACAGATGGCCGCCACTTTAATGGTCTATGAGCTGGTACTAATCAACCAAATGAGCGGCTCTGAGGTGCAGAAGAGCATATGCAGTCGCGGCGCTGGTTCCTCCAAGAGCATTTTCTATTCATAGCTCCGCACTTAATCATATTGCATATTTTATAAAGCTGTCGGCGAGCGACCTGCAATTTGCACAAAGATTGTAAACAGATAAGAAAAACAGATATTCAATTGGCAGGGCTGGCATTAAAGAGAACCCCACCTTTTAGTGTTTGGCTTTGACTATCGCAATGTAAACAAAAAATGTTAAAAACTACAGCAGTTGGGCATCAGACATGGCGAGGACCATAGGTGATGCGACAAGGCGGCGCAAAAGCGTGGCCCTCATCAATTTTTGGCGTGCGGCACGCGTTGATTGCAAGTAAGTCGAAATGTTATAAATAAAAACCTTCAGCTCAAGGACTGTTTATAGCACAAATATGAATGGTATACAATCCAATGCAGTCCTTAAGCATAAATCCCGTGCTTGCTGGATCAGACGCAGGCCAAATGCCGATAAACTACATCAACGTAAGGTCAAAGAAGTCCTGCAACGCGCTGATCGAGAGGATTATGTGCACAACGGTTCATTTCTCGAGGCTATCAAGCCAGGTAATTACCGAAATAATTAGGAACGGATCCCTTTGGGATGCGTACACCTTGATTTAATCAACTAATCTTACCCTTTCATATTTTTCAACTGTCTTTTATAGTATTGATAATTGCCCAAGTTTTTGCTCTAATGCCTGTGCGCGGCATAACTTCAAAGCATGCGGAGGATTTGAGTTTTAGCTGGATGAGTTTTCGCTCTTGTTATTCGATGATCGTCATTGCATCCTTTGGTATTGTGTCTGGCTTTATGGCGCTGTTTGTCATGCGTATCAATTTCGATTTTGACTCGGTGGAAACTCTGATCTTCTATGGCTCCATATTCGCTATCTCTGTGGGCTTCTTTCAGCTAGCCACCAAATGGCCAGCGGTTGCCTTGGAATGGCAGATGGTGGAGTCACACTTGCCTACACTGCGCACAGAACGAGAACGCTCTGCATTGGCCTTTCATATCAGAATGATTATAATGATAGCTATGATGTGCTCGCTGGGTGCGTAGTTGCAATATACTCATTTATTCAAATTATAAAGCTCTTTCTTTTTGCAGTGGAGCATATCCTGAGCATGCTGTCCAGCATTTATTATGTGAATGCCTGTCCTGTGCTGCCGAATCAGCCCATCAATAGCTATTTATTTATAAATTTTTCAATGTTTTTCACATTTGTCGACTACACTGCATTTCTGGGCTTAATTGGTAAAGTGATCAATGTGCTGGCCACCTTTGCCTGGAGCTTCAATGATATATTCGTAATGGCCGTCAGCGTTTCACTAGCGTCACGTTTCCGTCAGCTTAACGACTATATGCTTAGT